GTTTCATGGCGAATCATCGACGCCACAGACACGCCCATTGACGAAAACTCGCAAATCGCACAACTTTTCATCGTCAATGCCTTTAGAAGGCACAGCAGAAATTTGACGTCGATCCGACTAAATCCCTAGGAGGAGTTCGTTAAAGTACGAAGTGTGTAAATCATCCAAAAATGGCCGTAAACTTTAAAATGGCCAACTTCCTGTTGACTTTAGGGTATGGGTTCTTGAGGCTTTTTTGTGCGTCTTGATATGATACATATATCAGAAAATACATATACAGAAAAATTTCGTACATGTAGGTTGAACGTGAACGAGGGGATAATTATTTTCCAATTTTCTAGGTGGCGTAATAAGTACTAGTAGTCTTTAAATAATGACTAGTGAGTTTTAAGGAATAAATGTTAAAACAGCTTGCCATAGTATTCATGTGTGTGACTGAAGTCCATATGCTGTTACTGATTGTTACTGCAGCCTTATGTGGCACTGTTGCCCAAGACAAATTTCGCTCATATAAAGTTTATTTAGATCTTGATGGTAGCTACAGCGCTACCTCTTACCTATCTATTCAGCATAGCAAATGTAAGAGTTGGGAAAGTGGAAAACAAGAACAACTGGATAAAGGCCTGTTCTGAACCTACACAACACATTTCAATTTCAAAAAAATATGTTTATTACCATGTCACCAACAGAATTGTAGTACAAAACAGTTCTGACATATATAATGGCTCAGATGCAGTTCACAGAGCAGACAGGAGCTTTGCTCCAACTTGGTATCATCTTTAGCAAGAAAACAACTACTTCCAACTACCACGTGGATCAACTGAAATTATCCAGTATTTTGTGGTAATCTTTCAACACCTTTGACCATTTGGATGGTCCACTGACAAGCCTGTGTGCATCATATATGTCCCATCAGAGGTGGACAAGACTAATATGAAGGATATGATGAGCCAATAAGAGCAAATTCATTGAGCCCTTGTTGACCGCTGAGTCTGACCACTGTCAGACAGTCAGCTTCAGGGGGCGCTCTGATTGTGAATACAGCAGGGGCAGCAGTGCAGCGAGTCGTGGATGAAGAGATCACACTCCACACAGAATGCACTGCAACATGATGGGCAGGTAAATATCTAGAAACACAAAGACAGAGAGGGAGAGCAGATAAAAATCAGATTATTTATACAGCACTTATCATAACTGTTTTACAAAGTGCTTTACATGGTTAAACACAAATTAAAAACATTTCAAGAAAGAGGCAAATTAAGTCAAGCAATTTCAAATTACATAAAGTTAAAAGAGATAAAACGTGCAACAGTGATACAGTTAAAATGGACATATAGGACAAGAGGACAATGGGAGGATGCACTAAAATTAATAAAAGGCTTTTTTGTAAAAGTATGTCTTGAGAAGTGATAACTAACTGTAAAAGCCCAGTCACCTTTAGTCTAGAGCCTGGACTTCGGAACAGCTAACAGAGCTCTGCCCGAGGACCTGAGGCCACACTCTGGCTCATAGGGGAGCTGCAATTCAGCAATGTAGCTGGGAGCAGAACCATGAAGTGCTTTTTTAAAGTGATCAATAAAATCTTAAAATCAATTCTAAAACTAACAAGTAACCAGTGGAGGCTAAAACAGGACTGAAGTGATCTTGTCTTGTAGTATTAGTTAAAAGTCGAGCGGCTGCGTTTTGTACTAGCTGAAGTCGTGAGATAGTTTTTTGGCTTAGCCCTGAATACAATAATCCAACCTAGATTAAATAAAAGCATGGATGACCATGCTATAGTTGGGGGACTAATCAGACAGACTTAAAAAAAAGAATCGTCAATATTGAAGCAGAGTGCAAGTTAACCTGACTTTTAGTCCTGTGGATGGGTCAAGCTCTAAAAATGTAAACGCTCCGCATAGCGCCTTTCTGGTCTTTTCGACCACTCAAAGCGCTTTTACACTACATCTGCATTCACACAGTGCTCAAACAGAAACTAGTTCCTGTACTCCAACTCAACACCATGTCTTTATTAAATCTTCCATGTCTAGTAAATACCTTCATCTTTCAAACTCCACTACACCTCTAGTTTGTAATGCAGGCCTCTTGCAGCTGGAAGGCTAGTGGTAATTGTGACAATAAAGTGTCCTGGTGGCCGAGATGTCAGGGCACATACCATGAACCGGTACGGTGGCCCAGTGAATAGAACTGTGGCCTCACAGCAAGAAGGTCACAGGTTTGAACCCCAGTCATCCCAGGCCTTTCTGTGTGGAGTTTGCGTGAGTTTCCTTTGCTACGGTTTCCCCCACCATCAAAAACATGTTAGGTTCTCAGTTCAGACCAATTGGTCCCGGGGTGCTGCACTGTGGCTGCCCACTGCTCCCTTAAGGGATGGGTTAAATGCAGAAAATGAATTTCACTATGTGTATGTGACAATAAAGTACCTTAAAAAACCCCAACAACATATATATATATATATATATATATATATATATATATATATATATATATATATATATATATATATATACACATACACACAGGGGTTGGACAATGAAACTCGATTTTAGTGTGGGAGGTTCATTAAATGACCACCAAAACTGTCCGTCAGGAGCTCCACAGGGTCAATATACACGGCCGGGCTGCTATAGCCAAACCTTTGGTCACTCGTGCCAATGCCAAACGTCGGTTTCAATGGTGCAAGGAGCGCAAATCTTGGGATGTGGACAATGTGAAACATGTATTGTTCTCTGATGAGTCCGCCTTCACTGTTTTCCCCACATCCGGGAGAGTTACGGTGTGGAGAAGCCCCAAAGAAGCGTACCACCCAGACTGTTGCATGCCCAGAGTGAAGCATGGGGGTGGATCAGTGATGGTTTGGGCTGCCATATCATGGCATTCCCTTGGCCCCATACTTGTGCTAGATGGGCGCGTCACTGCCAAGGACTACCGAACCATTCTGGAGGACCATGTGCATCCAATGGTTCAAACATTGTATCCTGAAGGAGGTGCCGTGTATCAGGATGACAATGCACCAATACACACAGCCAGACTGGTGAAAGATTGGTTTGATGAACATGAAAGTGAAGTTGAACATCTCCCATGGCCTGCACAGTCACCAGATCTAAATATTATTGAGCCACTTTGGGGTGTTTTGGAGGAGCGAGTCAGGAAACATTTTCCTCCACCAGCATCACGTCGTGACCTGGCCACTATCCTGCAAGAAGAATGGCTTAAAATCCCTCTGACCACTGTGCAGGACTTGTATATGTCATTCCCAAGACGAATTGACGCTGTATTGGCCGCAAAAGGAGGCCCTACACCATACTAATAAATTATTGTGGTCTAAAACCAGGTGTTTCAGTTTCATTGTCCAATCCCTGTATATACACACATCCTAAAAACTAATATGTGAATATACTGTCTTAATTGTTTTCATCAAATCACTTCTATCTACACCTAAGTCCACCCTGAGTACATGTACCTCTGGTTGGGAATCATAGATACACAAATACATCATCAGGTTTATTTTTTTACACACTGAATAGTACTTTCTGGGATGAGTAAACACTGTACTTCATGTGTAAAAAAAAGGGGGGGGGGGTCATTCTCTACCATCTACAAGGCCTCTACATATCCAGTAGGGTGTCTACAGTACATATACACAGCTACTGTACTTACACTTTTATCTTTCAACTCCCCTTGACAAGCTTGACAGAACCTAAAACAAAATCATAACAGGTTAGATACATGGTGGCACAGTATCTGTGTGTGTGTGTGTGTGTGTGTGTGTGTGTGTGTGTGTGTGTATCATACCAACCTGTCTCCTTGAAGCTCCTCCACAGCACTCTCTATAAAGTCTTGGAGCGGAAAGAGGTGGTGGAAGGATCTGGCAAGATGGGGGGCTGACACCAGAGTCAAACCTTGGAGACAGCACACCCGAAACACACCAGTCAAAGCTATGGTACTTATTGAAAAAGCAGCAAAAAGAAATGCAGTACTTTTTGTTGCAACAGGAAGAAAATGAACCCTTGTTTATTCTAATCTTACACTGACACACAAAAACCGAATCCACCCATCAGACATACCACAGATTTTACACTCCACGGGAAGCTCTGTGTACTTGGCGTGACACTGCGGACAAAAGTATCCTCCCAGAGACAGACCTGGGCCGCTGCCGCTGTCCAGATGACTAGGAGACAGTACAAAGAACATGTCTTCATTCTAGCACACAGACAGTGGCTGCCCACAGTCCCGCCCACAATATTTAAATCACACTGTCTTGTACTTACGCCATGCTGAACGAAGGCTTGGCATCTTGGAAAGTAATAGAGGCGATGGTGTGCTGAGGGAAACCTGAGCAAACACAGATTCAAATTAAGAAAATCTGAGACAGATATTCAGTAGATGCTTTTATAGTTTTAGTGATATTTTGATGAGGAGCAAGCAGGGCTGAGTAATAAAACAATAATGATTATTATTGCGATATATGTTTTCTCAATAACAATATAACAAATAATAATAAATATTTGATTCAATTCATTTGAATCACAAACAAATTAGCGCTTAATTTTCCTATTAAGATATTTATTTTGTTGAGGAAAACGGACTGAAAAAAGGATTTTACTTAATTTTACTCATGCATATTTGTTGAAAAAAGATTTTTATCAAGATTGTTTTGAATAATCTACCTAACCCCTAACCCTAACTCTTCACCTAACCCACATGCCTTTAAACTTAAAGAAATAATGATTTAACATTTATCCTGATAATTATCGATATGAAATGATCAAATGTTAATTTATTTTATCGTGATAACATTTTTGGCCATATTGCCCAGCCCTAGGAGCACTGGCCTTTATGAATGTATTTTATAGAAACAAAAATAAACATTTTATTGTTGCCTTCCCTGTCTAATTTCACATAGTTCTAGCGGTGCTCGGGGTAAAATTGGGAGGGATGTTCCAAGTGTTGCTCCAAACCTTAGTATTATTCAAAGATATTATTTCAAACTCAAGCCAACCCTCAACACAAGAAAAAAAACATAGGGTCTCCCCTTTCAGCATCACTGAAGTGTTGAGAAGTGTTCTCATGTTAAACTCAGATAAAACTGAAGTTATTGCTCTGGGGCCTAAGCACCTCCGTGACGCATTATCTAAAGATATAGTTTCCCTGGATGGCATCGCCTTGGCCTCCAGCACCACTGTGAGGAATCTTGGAGTTATCTTTGATCAGGACATGTCGTTTAAGTCTCACATTAAGCAAATTTCGAGGACCGCCTTTTTTCACCTACGTAATATTGCGAAAAAATCTGGAACATCCTGTCTAAAAATGATGCAGAAAAACTAGTCCATGCATTTGTTACTTCTAGGCTGGATTACTGCAATTCCTTATTATCAGGCTGCTCGAAAAAGTCCATTAAGACTCTTCAGCTGATCCAGAATGCTGCAGCACGTGTTCTGACAGGAACCAGGAAAAGAGATCACATTTCTCCTGTTTTAGCTTCTTTGCATTGGCTTCCAGTAAAATCCAGAATAGAATTTAAAATCATTCTTCTAACCTACAAAGCTCTTAATGGTCAGATACCATCTTATCTTAAAGAGCTCATAGTACCTTACTACCCCACCAGAGCACTGCGCTCCCAGAATGCAGGGTTACTTGTGGTTCCTAGAGTCTCCAAAAGTAGACTAGGAGCCAGAGCGTTCAGCTATCAAGCTCCTCTCCTGTGGAACCAGGTTCCAGTTTAGGTTCAGGAGGCAGACACCATTCCACATTTAAGAGTAGGCTTAAGACTTTCCTCTTTGATAAAGCTTATAGTTAGGGCTGGCTCAGGTGAGTCCTGAACCATCCCTTAGTTATGCTGCTATAGGCCTAGACTGCCGGGGGATTTCCCATGATGCACTGAGCTCCTCTCTCCTCTACTTTCTCTCCCTCTGTATGCAACCTCATCCCATTATTGCATGTTACTAACACAACTTCTCCCCTTTCTGGTAGTCTTGTGCTTTCTCGTCTCTCTCCTCTCTCCTATCACTTCCTGCAGGTTTTCTGGCTCTGGAGCTGTGGAGTCTGGATCTGTGGTTGCGGGTCACCTGCTGCCCCCGTGTTCCTGCTCGACACCCTCTGCTGCAACGACTATTGTTGCTAGTCTTATTGTTATTATTGTTATTATAATCATTAACATTACGATTGTTACCATTAACACTATTATAAATATCTGTACCATTTTTCATTTAGTCTATAGCAACATCACCTTCACTGTCTGTACCTCTGTGTGTATATTGTGTAGGCTGCCTCCCTCCCCTCTCTCTCTCCTTACATCTCTCTCTCTCTCTCTCTCTCTCTCTCTCTCTCTCTCTCCTTCACCCCCAACCGGTCGAGGCAGATGGCCGCCCACCCTGAGCCATGGTTCTGCTCGAGGTTTCTGCCTCTTAAAAGGAAGTTTTTCCTTGCCTCTGTCGCCTAGTGCTTGCTCTTGGTGGGAACTTTTGGGCTTCTGTAAATAGCATCATAGAGTACGGTCTAGACCTGCTCTTTTATGAGGGGGCGTGCCTTGCAGTGAATTTCTGAATGGTCGATTAGAGGTTACTGGACTTCAGTCAAGAATGTCGGCTATTTTTCTACGACTGCTCCTCTCTTTTCCACCGTTGTTTGCAAACGTTTTTGGAAACGGAACAGCTGATTACAGCAGGTAATAAAGCTCGTTAAAAATCACATTCCTCCGACAGTCAAGAGGAGGACACAGATGTGAGTGCCTGCCAACTGATCTGCAGCTCTTGTTGGCTGGAAATGTTTTAATAACCTTTCAAACTGACACGATTTTATATTTGTGTTTCTTTCTCTGTGCTGGAGTTCTTTTATTAACTTGATGGCTTTTGTCCAGTTTGTTATTAAATTTGTAACAAACTTTATTTTGTGTCTCTCCATTATACACAGAAAAGCTGTTTTTAATGGTCAAGCATAGCCTATAGTTTTTCATTATATTCCAAACAAATCTGATGTTCATTTATAAATATTGCTCATGGATAGTCGTTACTAAATAATGATGCCAGTCCATCGCTTTGTCCAGGCTTACATCAGCTGGTTAATTTGCCTTATCTTCGTACGTCTTTAGACAACGGTGGAAACGCACACAACAATGGGCTAAAGGAACCTTTTAGTTAATTAAACCGGGGACAAAAAAGTCTCGGGTAACTTCAAACAGCAGAGTTTCAGTTGATAGGAAAAACTTTGACTAAGGTCAGAAGTAAATAAACTGATGCCGTTCTACTTAACACATAGTACTATTAACTTTTCTCACTAAGATAAGTTGATTAAATAATTTTCGTAATTAAATTCAGTAATTTAATCAATGTGTCAATTTTGGAATTGAAAATGGTATCGAATATAAATATCAATATTGTATCGAAGTTGGAAATTCCACAATCATGACAACCTTAATCAATAATGTTAGTGTCAGATGTTCATGTTAAACGTGGTCAAAGATTCAAATAATGAGGTAAACATATTTAAAAGAAATCCCTGTGAGCCAGAACCTCAGATTTCCCCCTGTTCTGTACGCTCCAATTTCAACAGTTTTTTCTACTCTTGGCTCCGTATGATGTCATACATATGATGGTTTTCTATATATGGTCATCTGCGCACAGCCCCATCCTCCTGGCAACAGTTAGACTCAGTCTGTCTGTACCACTCAGCGCAGGACAATATGCCTGTCCTTTGAAGTTGAAGTTATTCAGTATGTTGCCAAGAAAGTGCTTTTTTGGTTGTAATGAAAAATTAAGTTTGTGTGGCTTTTCTAAAGAAGAAAGTGCAAAATAAGATTGGATGTGGACTAAATACTTTGAATCATGCAAAGCTACCATACAGGAGTCACAGAAATACAATATAGTACTGGAAATGCAGTATAATAGGTCTCCTTCAATGTTAAAAGGTCTGTGACGCAGCAGGATGCCAGTTTGTTAAGCCAACCTTACAGCCTAGTTTTATGTTTCCAGTTCATTTAGAAATTGCTGATCAGAGACAGAGATAGCGTTTGTTTACTGACCCATGCGTATTAAAGAGCATTCAGATGAGGAGCTGGCTGGAGGAGGTTTGACATGCAGCATCAGCAGCTCTTTGAAGTGACTCTCGTCCAGGATAACATGGTACAAGCCGCCCGTCTCCCTGGTCAACACTGTACACACACGGACCTCTGCTGACAGTCCAATCACCGACACCCTCACCTTCAGAGACTTCAGGGTCTGACAAAGGAGGAACACGATTATACAGTATTGTTTTAAGATTCCTTTGGTACATTAGTGGGAGAGAGAGTTCCATTTACACTGAGTTTAAATTAATCACCAGATGTTCAATCAGCCCAGGTGCTGAACTGCATTTTAAGCTAACAAGTGGACAGTGCTGATTGTGCACCCTGAGCTACAGTGTGACTTCACCTTGATCAGCTCGTAGATGTTGGCTGGATCACATGTGGTGAGGCTGCTGAGGATGATCAGGATCTCCCGGCTCGTATGTCCAGGCATGTGCCTTCATACAAAGACAGGCACCAGCTGAGTTTAGCACTATTACAGAAACCAACCAAAAATATAACACACTGCAGGACCTACTTGAGGGTCAGTATGGCCAGGTTAAGAGAGTTGTACAGGGATGGCTCTCCTACACACACAGTGTCCACTGCTTTCTTCAGAGCATCAGTGTGCTTCTTTGGATTTCCTGGCCGTGAAACAGAACAACACATAACACCACATTATTAAAGCTGCATGGGGTAACTTCACAGACTGGAGGCTGTAGCTCACAGCCAATGGTAAGTGAAGGTTGACAGATGACAGAGGAACACTCAAGCCTGAAGCTTTCTCTGAACAGGGATGGAGTCCAACATTAGCAGTTTATGTGATCCTCACCTGCCAGGTCAGTCAGCTTCTCAGCCCTTTTATTCTTTGTGGTGATAATGCCCACCTGACAAAAACATGTCATTAGGTCACAGAACATAAATTTTCTCATGCAGTGAAAAACAAATCTATAACTGATAACGTCGACTTGCTTCACTCTGCTGATGCAACACCGGCAGCACTGTGACATTAATAAAGTGAACCCCCCTCTTGCGCTGTGAGTCGCAACCATTTTGTGAGATATACATAGCTGGTAAAGATTTGCAATATAACCATCTAAAAAATGAAGTGCAGCCTTGCTGTTTAGAAAGGTGAGCTGCACTTTATCAGAGGTGCTTTAGTTAACATATGTGTGGATTTGTGGTGAGATTACTACCCATCACAAGTGTTTTCAGTTTGTTTCGCTTTCCTGTCTGAAGGGTATACTACCATATCAGCAGGACTATAAAGTAATGCACAACAGAGTATAGGTCAGGTAGAATTAAAAAAATATTATGAATTAAATGATGACGTTAGTCTTTTAATATTATGCAGGCATTAGGACCAAGTGTAGTGGCCTTCAAATCCTGTGTCCTTACAACATGACTGAGGAGACCTACACTTACTACTTGTATCTTTATACAAGAATATAACTATACTATATACTATAATATTTTCCAATGAACTCACCAAAACCTACCATGTTTAAACAAATGTAAAGTCTCAATGGGCTTCAGTGTAAAACATGCACCAAACTCAGAATTGTATAAACATACCTGACTGATGGGGTTTTGGTCAAAATATTCCTCGACAAAAGCTTCCATCAGCTGAAGAGGTAAGGAGAAAAGAGAGAGTGCTTTACAGCTGATTATACCGTATGTCTTCTGGTGTACCATGTGATGGCTCTGCTACACAGTTTACCTTTAGAGTAGAGGTGAGGCGATTTGGTTTCAAGTCCTGGTCTTCCATACTTCTTGAACAGTCAATCACCACATAGAGGTGACGCATCTAGAGCATAGGACAACCTCTTTTTTGGAAATGACACATTTTAAACAAACAAACAAAATAGCAAAATACATTAAGCCCTGTGTGGTTATTATGGTTATGCTATCACTGGGAGTCCAAAAGGGTCTCTGGAACAAGTGCTGATACCAAAATCATCCCTGTGCACTGCATTTCAAACAGACCAGTTTAACACTGAACAGCTGAGGCTCTTAGCTAATAAATGTAAATAATGGGCATTCCTTACATCATAATGGCCCCCTCACTTGTTTTTGCCAAGAAGAGTCATTACAAGCGACCTACTGCTGTGCTATTCATGACTTGTACATATATTACTATTTCTAATTAAAAACAAGAGATAAATGATGATATGTGTCAGAAGAATTCCTATCCGCAATGTTTACCAAAATGGTATTAAAAAAGTAGAATGGGGTATTTTGGTCTTTAAAAATATGTAAAAGTAATGCTGTGTAGCAACTGCCATCATGTTAATGTGAGACCTTCGAGACCTTGGAGTTTAGAAGCACACAGATACTGAGGTACAAGGTTCTGTAGGAGGTAGGTGCGACTGACTCACCATTCCAAGCCTTACTTGTCCATGGCTCTCTATCACCCTATGATGTAAACAAGACGGCAGATTAGTCATCAGAAGATGGTTCCTCTGGCTTTGCAAGACTCCACCGTGCCTGACTCAAAACAACCAATCAGAGCCAGGAGGACTCTCTAAGGCAGTGTCAATCACTGCTTGTGCACACACGATCACCAGCCAATCAGGACTGGCATAATGAAATAAACGGGCAGGCACATCCCATAGTGAGACATTGAAACGAATGCTATGAATGAGAACATTTTATTATAATTTTTTCTAATGTTTAGTATGTCAACAATGTAGTATGTACAAGGTATATGAAATGTGAGAAATGGTTGATGAAATGTGAGTCTGTCTTAGGGGAGATATTGAATGGGATTTCTTCAGGATGGTGATGTGAAGTAAACAAATGTGACACTGAACTAGACATTAGGAAGCAGATGCCATGCCATGCCAGTGAACTAAACTATTGAGCTTGGTGAAAGGTCAAAGTTCAGAGAAATGTAACTCCAGTGTTTCCCCTATATTGAGTGTGTGCCGATATCTGACTATTAAAAAGAGAAACAGAGAGTCTGATCCTTCCCTCATGTCTTGAGTGATGCATAGTTTGCCCACAGAGGGCGCACGGAGAGTAGCTCCTGTTAGCTCTCACACTCAGTGTTCCCAGTGAGTTAGTCATTTGTCATGTCAATTACATAACTTAAATAATAATAAAAATAGCCCTCATTACTTCTCCTCTTACCATACTACACTTCCTAACTCTCCCACTTTTCACTTTCCTCTCCAGGCTCACAGCAGTGTGTTTAATGTTATGGTACTGATAGGCGAGTGGTTGTAGATTTATTTCTGAAACAGTTCTAGCGAATGGTTCTCTTATTTCTCTCTAATTCATTGCTTCTATTCTTAAACATAACTTACAGCAGTTGACGCTGCCCGTTGCTAAATTAGCCACAAAGCTGGCTAATGCCATGCTTATCAGTAGAGGAGCGCTAACTTTAATGAAGGGTTAAACTATATTGCTTAACGTAATTCTAAATATATCTGCAAGCCGTTTGTCTTACAGTCGGTACGTCGGAAATGAGATATATTATTATATTATATTATATTATATTATATTTCAGGTAATAACTATTTATAGTTTATGTAAGTTATGTGTTATGAAATAAATATATATAATTTTTTTGCCTATTCAGAGGAGCCCATTAATATTATAGAAGTGACATGAAATTTGACATATGATATTATTATTAGTATTATTATTAGTAGTAGTATTTTAGTCTTTTTAATAGTTTCTGTTTCGCTGGCCACCACAATATTTAATTTAATGTTCATTAGTAATGGTTCTCCATAATTTGTAACAAATCAGATATTTGTAAGGTTTTCTGTAGTTTAACACATTTTGTTGTACTTTTGTTCAAATTACCATTTATAACAACAAAAAAGTTACTCTTTATACTGCATTATGTCATGGTATCTTGGTATGGTCTCAACATAACAAATATTACGGATAATTTATGTCATGCGAGGGAAAAAAAGAATATCGACCAATATATCAGCATATCGGATTTAAAAATCCTCAAATATCAAAATCGGCATCGGACGAGCTCTAAAATGAATAGTCTAGGTTATAACGTGTACGTTAATAAATGCTGCAGCTTCTCAAAACAAGCAAATTAGGACTGCAATCTAATCACCTTTTAAGTTAATGAGGTGACATTTCTTTTGGACTTTAACAAATGAAATGCTAATGTTAATCATACTGAAGGAAGTGAATGAATATGCTGATTTTTACACATTGCCTATTTCTTGTATACATTTCTACAGCTACATTTCACAAGCTATAAATTAAGACACAAAAGGAAAACATCAATAATCCTCCTCCAATCTATAATGATTCTCAGGTCAAATTAACAGGGTTTCTCACGCTGCAGCTAGGCTTGTCTTTAAGCTTTTTGGGTGCTGTTTGTTGCTCTAGCTTTTCCAACTTGTTGTACACAGATATGGTAATAATAATGGTCCAAAATCATATGAAAATGCATATATTTATTGCAAAACCTAAAAATTCAAAGTTCAAGCCTCGCACAGACCATCCTTACCATAATACCAGCTGGCCTGAACACGGTTTCAAACCACACACACCTATACACACACACACCTTTTCCTTTTGGACTGGAACAAGATCTCCTCCACCGTGGCTTTGAGTGAGCCAGATTCGTCCTCCTTCAGCACCTCCCTGTAGGAGAATACATTAGTTCCACAATGTTGCATCAAATGACAACACAGACCTCAACCTGCCAATCTCCATTTAACGCTCTTACCATGTCCTCTCGTAGCCCCCTTCCCAGCGCTTGGCTCTCTCTGGTTCTTCGTCCATAATGTCTACCGGACAGAATTAAACAAATGCTAATAGACAAAGACCTGGGAAACAACAGCTTTGCATTAATACATAGAGTAAGTCAACTCCAAACTCCACTTATGGCGGAGTAATAGCAAGGAGTAACGTGTGGGCTGCTTAACAATCATCGTTAAAAGACAGGTTACAAAATAGGCAGTAAAGACTAACTAGAAACACACTGTTTAGTTGTAAGCAGCGGCGTTTTTAGGATCATGAAACATTGGGGGTTTAGACCAGACTATATCCAACGAAGGTTAAAATCAAGGGCAACTGGACTTGGTTGAAGATACTGGAAGACGTTTCGTCCCTCATCCAAAGGACTTCTTCAGTTCTGACTGACTGGCAGGGAAACTCAGCTATTGTGACAACAGTGGTCACAGCAACAAGGAACACCAACGAACCAGCGGTATCGATGACCCGGGATAACGACCCCACTGAGGTTAAATAGCTGAGTTTCCCTGCCAGTCAGTCAGAACTGAAGAAGTCCTTTGGATGAGGGACGAAACGTCTTCCAGTTGCCCTTGATTTTAACCTTCGTTGGATAACTATGACCTCGATGACTGAGAATCTTCATAGACATCGACCAGACTATAAAACTTCATATCTTCACATAATAATTGACCCCCCCCCCCAACCCCCAAAGTTAAGTCTGTAAAGCAGTAAAGCAACAGTAAACATGCTCTACTTATACGGCACAAACAAAACACAAAACTCACAACAACACTTTTTACTGTCTCATTTTGATCTTGCTAAATTACAATGTCATGTGTCTAATTCTAATAATATAACAACAAAACTGCGACAGTATGAACAGGGGGGTCTGGGGGTACTCACCCAGAAAATTGTGAGTGTTAAACACTTAATTTCCTGCATTCTGGTGTTTTTCACCAATTTCTGCCTTTTCTGCATCAATTTATTGTGGAAATTATTTATGTAAAGGGACACACAAAATTCAAGTAGCAGGTGGGTGAATCTTTGTGAGCCGGTTTCACTGGTTGCTTTTAAATGACTTGAAGGCTGGCAATTCTGCCTTCAGATGTTATGACTACTCATTTGATCGTGCTTGTTGCTGAATTGTGGCGAATATTTAAGAACATTTTGATATTTTATGATGTTGTATCGGACTATTTATTCCCATCTTAAATGTGCAGTTGTACTACTGCCTGCCTTGGCCAGGACACCCTTTGTAAAAAGAGTTTTTATGGTTTAATAAAACAATTTAAAGTCTAAAACTGTAACAGAATATAATGCAGAACAGCTCTCAGCTTTCAGATGTTTCTCCTGAAGATAAACTTTTGATATCATCACTGCTGAATCAACACACACGCAGGCGTGACTGATTGAGGTAACCTCTTTAAATGTGCATCCGTGTGGAAGGGATCCAAACCACAGATTCTGCAACCCACTGCACCACTACTATCCATGGTACTGTGGGGATTTAAATGTTTTGTTGTTCAGGATCACAGCCCATATGTGTTCACATGAGGAAAGGTCAAGATAGGCTATCAGAGTAAAGATGTCTAGGCAACTTGATGAGTTCATTTTTTTAAGTATAAGTTTAAATATTTCTGCAAATGCAGTGAAGAAGCTGATTATCTGTAATTTAGTTATCTCTACAATTCTATTTCTACAATTATTTTTCTTTTTAAATCTCCATGAAGGTGTCAAGATCACTTAAAAATATCACTTTTGCCGCCCAGCGAACTTTTGTTACCTGTGCCTTTTATTATGGAGATGTAGCCAACCAAACCACTTGTTTTGCAGTAGCACAGGCTGCCAATACAATCTGATTATTCCTGAAGCATCGAAATAATCTTCACAACGCAAGTAATTATTGTGGCAGTAACAGGAGAGCAGCTCATTTTGAAGCAGGGTAAACCTACATACAGAGGAAGCTGTGCATCATGTGTAAAGCCCAAAAGGGCTATTTTATCTACCATTTTCTCTCTCTCTCTCTGTGCACCTCAAAAATAAATAACAGCTGGTTGCTTCTGAGTGAAAGACTAGTTTCACCGGAGACATTCTGTTTATGGACTCACCGTCGGACATCGCTATAAGACAAATAGTAACCAATGTGTATAAAAGAAACAGGCTGATGTCCAAAGCGATGCTCTGTTCAACAACAGGACACTTTTAATATATCTCAATCAATGCAGTGATCGTCTGACATAGATGTTACAGTGTGTAGGCTAGTCAACAAAGACACAAACCGGACATTCATTTAAATACAGCCACCTGCTGGTAGAAAGGCGAAACAGATCTATTACTATGAAAACCACATTAAATATGAATTTAAAATTAAATATAATGCTAACAGTAACAACTCTGCACACACAATAATTACCTAGGTGAAGCTACCAACTGTATTGCACCAAACAATATGTACATTAAACATGACTCTTGCTGTTTACATGAAGAAATGCACATTATTATATATTGCATAATAAACTACTGTTGCTAACATATTTCTCTCGGTCCAGGTTTATTGATTTGAATCAACGGCAGATGCCGTGGCATCTCACGGTAGATCAGTGGCGACCTAACGTACACAATCAGCGGCAGATGCCGTGGCATTGTAACGTTAGATTGCAACCACAATCTGTGGCATGTCGGTTTCACCAGAAATATCACATAAACGGCGAACTACGGTGCTGTGGCATATCAGGAAAAATCGGTGGCATTCTAGATTGCCACCGGAAATGCCACAGATAACGGAGGCAGATGCCACGGCATCTCAAGCTGCCACCGGAAATGCCACTGGTAGCTGCTGATCCCACTATTTCAGCTAGCTGTCTCTCCGTTTTTATAGGCTTGTGTTATGCTATCAAACTTCGTATTATTCATTGCACTCAATTGAGAATTTCTACACAAGACGAGCATTTAGTTTCACTCGTAAAGCAAACATTTATTTCGCGATAGTCTGGTGATGTTATAACTGACCACGTAGTCGATCACTTTGCCATCCATGTTACTGCTTAGAAGCTAGATGAGAGGGGGTTGTAGCCAATTATGTGGTCTGGTCGCCACACCGACCACTGGTCTCTGTCACACAGACCACTGGTCGCTACCACTAGGGCGCTAAAGATACTGGTCGCTGCCACACAGACCACCGGTTCGCTGCCACACAGACCACTGGTCGCTACCACTAGGGCGCTAAAGATACTGGTCGCTGCCACACAGACCACTGGTTCGCTGCCACACAGACCACTGGTCGCTACCACTAGGGGCGCTAAAGATACTGGTCGCTGCCACACAGACCACCGGTTCGCTGCAACACAGACCACTGGTCGCTACCACTAGGGCGCTAAAGATACTGGTCGCTGCCACACAGACCACCGGTTCGCTGCCACACAGACCACTGGTCGCTACCACTAGGGCGCTAAAGATACTGGTCGCTGCCACACCGACCACTGGTCTCTGTCACACAGACCACTGGTCGCTACCACTAGGGGCGCTAAAGATACTGGTCGCTGCCACACAGACCACTGGTCGCTACCACTAGGGGCGCTAAAGATACTGGTCGCTACCACACAGACCACTGGTCGCTACCACTAGGGACGCTAAAGATACTAGTCGCTGCCACACCGACCACTGGTCGCTGCCACACAGACCACCGGTTCGCTGCCACACAGACCACTGGTCGCTACCACTAGGGGCGTTAAAGATACTGGTCGTTGCCACACCGACCACTGGTCGCTATCACAGTCTCTAAGGGAAGGCTTCTTTCTGTTCCTTGTTAAACAAACTGTGGCTGTGCACATTAAAAAAGGTCATTTTCAAGTTTTTATACGGTCTATGGTTCCAAATTAGACCTAAAGTGACCTTACATCATTTAAATTATCTCAACTGGCAGATGATACAATTTTTTTTTGTCTAATTAGACTCTGAATTGACTGCTGCTTATTTAGCATTATTGACTTTTTGATGCATCCTCCAATTAGTACAGCGCTACATATGATAATATGCTTGCTACTGTGTGCCGGCGGCCATCAGTGCGTAAAATAATAACACTTAATTAAAGCTGCAAGCAGCGTTGGGCGGGCCCTCGCACTTGTAGCGCGTCCGGCCGAGTTGCATATTCTTGAGCTCTGCCGGTGCGGCTATGAATTTGCAACGCGGTTCTGACGCCGCATGAAGGTGTTATATGTCACTTCCTGTGTCCCCTATGTGGAGCTACATAGCACTTGCCGCTATGAATATAAATCGGTATTGGTGTGTAGATGTCTGCGGGGTGGGACAGTTACCAAGCACGTAAAGTTTGTTTCAGATGTGAGCATGTACACTGAACAATAATGTACCCAAACAATAAAATAAATTCCTTTTATATTTCCCTGCCTTGTTGTTTATGTGTACATACAGAGGAAGAATGTGAGAACAGCACACATTTCATCGTTACTGTGTGTTAGTGCATGGGAGAACAGTGGATACTTTTAATACAGCCCACACCCCTAATACTGTGTAACTATAACAAGTAGAGAACAGAAGAAAAAGATGTTCTTTCTTTACAACTGTCTGCATAGCTTATTCATATTGTGTAATGAATGAAAATAAATAGGCCTACTAGGCTCCTCTCCACTTTGACATTTGAGATTAGCTTGTTTGATCCACCTTCATACACATGTGACATTACTGCCTTTAGAAGGCACAGCACAAATTTGAAGTCGGTCGGACTAAATCCCTAGGAGGAGTTCGTTAAAGTACGAAGAAAAAAAATAATATAATCTTAGCAAATTCAATAGGGACCTCACACGGTCGTGCTCGGGCCCTAAAAATCTTAGCAAATTCAATAGGGACCTCACACGGTCGTGCTTGGGCCCTAATAATCTTAGCAAATTCAATAGGGACCTCACACGGTCGTGCTCGGACCCTAAAAAAAATAATCTTAGCAAATTCAATAGCGACCTCACACGGTCATGCTCGGGCCCTAAATATTATACCTATCATAAAGGGCGAAATTGCGTCTCTCCTTGAGGAATAGCAATTCCTCAAAAACTAATAGCAAGTAGTGGACTGCTGTGTGTGTGTGTTTGTGCGTGTGGGCATGAGGTTCCACACTGCTGCCACACTGGTCGGTGTGACGTCGCTGCCGCTAAAGACGGTAGTCGCTGCCACACTGGTCGGTGTGACGTCACTGCCACTTTGGGCGCTAAAGACAGTGGTCGCTGCCACACTGGTCAGTGTGACGTCGCTGCCATTTTGGGCACTAAAGACAGTGGTCGCTGCCACACTGGTCGGTGTGACGTCGCTGCCACTAGGGGCGCTAAAGACAGTGGTCGTTGCTACACCGACCACTGGTTGCAGTTGGTTATATCTACTGTAATATGTCTTTATCATAATTCTTTGTTAATATATTATCAATTATGCCTACTCTTATTGTTGCACTATATATTGCAGTTTGTGTGGTTATACCTACAGTAATAGCCTACATCTATCTATCTTTAGTCCTTGCCTATAACAAGGCCTGTGTTATCACCTGTGAATGAAACTGTGTACAACTTTCTAGATCACAATACTTTGTAAAATATACTATATTGTATCTTATTGATGCACTGCAGGCCTACAGTATATTGCAGTTTGTGTGGTTGTAGCCAATCTACAGTAGGCTACATCTATCTAGATCACAGTACTTTGATAAATATAGCCTATAATATTATCGATTATGCCTATTTTCTTACTGTTGCACTGTATATTGCAGTTTGTGTGGTTAACCTGCAGTAATAAATCTCTCTATCTTTGTTTCTTGCCTTCAAGAAGAAGGCCAGTGTTCTCACAGAAGGAAAGTGTGGTGACCACTTGTTGGTTGAATCCAAGCTAGACTGATTTTAACAATAAGAATATAGTTAATCAAAAATTAGTAGGCTGTATTTAACAAAGTTTTATGATCTAGATATATTTGTTACTGTAGATAGGCTATAACCACACAAACCGCAATATATAGTGCAACAATAAGAGTAGGCATAATCAATAACATAGTATATTTAACAAAGAATTATGATAAAGATGTATTACAGTAGATATAACCAACTGCAACCAGTGTTCAGTGTGGCAGCGACCACTATCTTCAGCGCCCCTAGTGGCAGCGACCACACCGACCAGTGTGGTAGCGACCACTGTCTTTAGCGCCCCTAGTGGCAGCGACCACACCGACCACTGCAGCGAGGAGTGGTCTGTGTGGCAGCAACCCAAGACTGTGGAGCCTCGTCTCATGCCCTCTCTCGCCAAATTAAAAGATTAAGTCTGGTTTGCGATGTATTCTTCATACTTTGGTGTTTTTGAATTGAATAACGGCAATCATGCGAATAAAAAACTATCTATTCATTTCCAGGCCATTTTATCAACTTAGTTAGCCATCTTTCCCTAAATAATGACATTTCTTCCTCCAAATGAAATTAAATAAGATCTTATCTAATTCTTTGTATATTTCAGTAGGCATTTCCAGTGATAAGGATACATATATATGGATATTCCCTCAGTTTTAGATAGTAGAACTCTACCATTCAGTGAAAGATGCCTCATCCACCACATGTTGAACCTTTTTCATTATTTGTTTAATCATAGGGCTGAAGTTTAGGTTATTGCAGAGTTTTTCATTCTTATCACACCCAAGTATGTATCACAGGGATATCATTAACTTCTGATAGTTCACATTCATTAAGTGGTAGCCTAATAAACAGATTTGTTCAAGTTCATTCTTAAGCCTGATGCAGTAGAAAATTCTAATTGCTTTGATCCATTCCTCTCTATTAGACAAAAAAATTGTATCATCTGCCAGTTGAGATAATTTAAATGATCTAAGGTCACTTTAGGTCTAATTTGGAACCATAGACTGTATAACAACTTGAAACTGACTTTTTTTAATGTGTACAGCCACAGTTTGTGTAACAAGGAACACAAAGGAGCCTTCCCTTAGAGACTGTGATAGCGACCAGTGGTTGGTGTGGCAGCCTGGCAGCAAGGCAGCGACCAGTGGTCGGTGTGGCAGCGACCAGTATCTTTAGCGCCCCTAGTGGTTGGTTTGGCAGCGACCAGTATCTTTAGCGCCGCTAGTGGTCGGTTTGGCAGCCTGGCAGCAAGGCAGCGACCAATATCTTTAGCGCCCCAAGTGGCAGCGACCAGTGGTCGGTGTGGCAGCGACCAGTATCTTTAGCGCCCCTAGTGGTAGCGGCCAGTGGTCGGTGTGACAGAGACCAGTATCTTTAGCGCCCCTAGTGGTAGTGACCAGTGGTCTGTGTGGCAGCGACCAGTATCTTTAGCGCCCCTAGTGGTAGTGACCAGTGGTCGGTGTGGCAGCGACCAGTATCTTTAGCGCCCCTAGTGGTAGTGACCAGTGGTCTGTGTGGCAGCGACCAGTATCTTTAGCGCCCCTAGTGGTGGCGACCAGTGGTCTGTGTGGCAGCGACCAGTATCTTTAGCGCCCCTAGTGGTAGCGACCAGTGGTCTGTGTGACAGAGACCAGTGGTCTGTGTGGCAGCGACCAGTATCTTTAGCGCCCCTAGTGGTAGCGACCAGTGGTCTGTGTGACAGAGACCAGTGGTCTGTGTGGCAGCGACCAGACCACATAATTGGCTACAACCCCTGCTGAGCTAGATTCAGACAGACTGTCACCTTTTTCAAGTAAGCTGCTCCTACATACGCCATCGATACTGTATCAACATCACGGTAATCAGTTTAACACTTTGCTCGCCTTAACGTTACATCTCCTTGACTCGAAATGTACATTAAACTGAATGCAGCATTGTAAACAATATTTTGTCCTTGTAATCCATGTTTCCATTGCATGGCCTTTGGATATTGCTGGAAATTGTCCCCTTACTTAAAGGGTAAATTATTATCATAACAGTTTAATAATGCATTGCATTTAAACAGAACTTTTCATACACAAAAGCGATAACAGTAGCCTACTGGTCCTACCAGACTGGACATGCAGTCTGCCAAAATATGTTTCACCCTCCATAATGCTCAGATGATGGCCTACTGTCAAGTATTTAATTTTGTGTATTCTTCACGTCATGACTAATAACAGGGGTGAATATGGAGACGTCTCTATTTTCCTAGCAAAAGTTTTAGTGGCAGGGGAAACACTTTCTGTGGGGGATAAGTACCTTGGCAAGATACCTGCTTGTGAAAGAGCGACGCAGGCTGCTTTCCAACACGGTCATCAGTGCCATGGTGTGCGCTCACTAGATTTCAGTTGTATTAGTAGAACAATAAAGCCTTAAACTGATTTGCTAAATGTTTGCATCCGCACAGCTCTGTGACTGACAAGCGCCCGACCAGCGCTTTACTGCGTAACTGCGCGCGCACAGCCTGGATAACAGCTCATTTCGGTTAATGACGCAAAATGCAGATTACAGACTGGTGAAGTTATGAAGGCATGAATGGAAAATGTAGCGAAATTAAGAGTAGGCCTACATTAGATGTACCCACCCCTGCTACAGACATCATCGCTGCTGCCTTCAGCTAGAAGTAACAGCAGCACAAAAGGAAAGTCTGTAATATTGAGGCACTTTGCTGCACCGGCCTCCAGCAACTTTTTTTTCTCCGCTAATTTGCGGGAGAATAAATAATAATCTCTCTAGCTCACTCCCGCGACTTAACATTAGTTAAGCGAGTTAGTTAAGTTAAATTTTCGGCCTTTTGTTGTTTGTTTTTTTAAAATCCTTCTGAGATCCGGGGCTATAGCCCCGAATGCCCAGGGCTAACGACGCTGCTGGTTGTAAGCATAAGGAATGGAGTTATTTGCTGAAAGTACAGATGTAAACATTATGTCGTTATTTGAGCCGGCTACTGTATATCGCAATTACGTTACACCAATGACTCACAAAGTGGAGTGAATGGAGTTTGGCACGACCCTGTGTCAAACCATAACACCTTATCGGATATTCTACAATAGCGTTATAAACAAAAGCGAGTCCTAAGAATTACTTGCTGACATAATCAGCAGCATTACGTTATCTTCCGTTACCTCTTGATATTTCAAATTAAACCTTGCAGTTTGATATGGATCGGTAACGTTAACTTAATTTCTTTGCCACAAGTGACCAACTTTTAATACAGCTAGCTAGCTAGCTAGCCTGTTAACGAGCGTTAAGTTACAGCAATTCAAGGTACTATAGTGATAAGCATCATAACTCATCTAGTTAACATCTTATGTGGTGACACTACTTACTTTCTCACTACGCCAGTCGTGCCAACAATACCGGGAGCGCCATTTGTCTATGGCAGTCAGCTGGTGCAACGGAGTTTTATTTCCGGGATGAATCATGCTCTTCAGAGAAAAGCATCCGCTCAGTTTGCTGTCAGTGATTACATTAACATCTTCCAGGCTACTGCAGTTAACAACAGCATGACAGGTCTTATTTTCAGCTTTCAGTGGAACCTATGTTAAGATGTTATTTCAAATAGTTTAAAATAAGCACATTAATAACCATTTTATTAAAAGCTTAAATCCCTGCTTTCTCAAAAACGTATCTTATGCAGATCATTTTGCACTCAGAAATATGTACATACACACACATAATTTGTACAAACAGTACAGCAGGCATGATTCCCATTAACTGAAAATCATGTCAATATATGATATAAATTGACATGGTGGTAGGGATTGTTAATTTGCTTTTAAATAACACGTGAATAAGAAATTAAATTAACTGAAGTAAAAGACAAATGTTAATGGCACATATGGAACCATCAATCAGTTACACTTTTCCCTTTTAAATATCCACATTGGGAAATGTCTAACTTACAAAACAAGGACAGAGGTTTCATCATTTATAGAAAACCGTACAAAAAAAAAAAAAAAAAAAGTGCACTACTGAACATTTTACAATGTTTCCAAAGACTAAAAATAAACATTTACAAGGGATGGTCAGTGCCTTTATGATGCCAAGCAAATTCATAGGTCTCATGTTAGCTGTGCCTTCATTGTACATAAAACATGTTTTTAAAAAAAGGCTATAAATGAATCACAATAACTGCTGAAACAAAACATCTCATATCACATATTCGGAAGGGAAATGAAATAAAATACATTCTCATACACCTAAATGGTTCTCCATGTAACTCACAGGTTGAAGACAAAAACAATAGTTAAAAAACAAAAAAACAAATTTCCTTCTCTTCTGTAATATAAAGCAAAAGACTTTCACTATAGTAGTGTCATAAAGGTTTATGATAAAATACAAACACAGTGGGGTGGGAAATTGTCAATTTCTCTCTTCCCCTGCATAAAGGGCTCAGAGGTGAAGGTTCAAGGTCGGCGGTCATATTCACTGATCTTCCTCTTGATGTGAGACAGTTTGGACCGGAGATATTTACACCTCTTCTTCTTAATCTCATAGTCAGGTGACTGCAGGGGATAAGCAATATTTTTTTTTAAATTACATTTTATTCACAAAAACTCACTGTAAAGAACACTGCTGGAAAGCAATGTATATGCTTTACCCTCTTAAGGTTCTTCAGTCTGGTATATTCATCCATGGCATCCTGAGATTAGAAAGATAGTGGTCAATTATGGCTGAACAATTTATTGCATTTGCGATATCACAATATGATAAAACGAGATTTTGTAACACTCTGGTCACATGACACGCCAGAGTAAACCAGTCTGCAGAGGAAGCATCAACTTTGCACATTTCGCTGTACCTTGACTTATTGTTGTACAATGGCCTTAAGCATGACAGAATCTGACACTACAGCAACTTTGGTGTCACAAAGGAAATCAAATTATCACCTGCGGATAAATTGGTGGTGGTCAAAATCATCGGGCCATCTGCCACTTTGACTTGTTGGAAAATGCAAATGGTGCCTGAATGCAGCATAGAGTCAAGCTGTTGCAACGGTACTGTATGCTCAAGCTAACTTGTGATACAACAGCTGTATCTACCGTCGCTCATGTCTCTTCTCACTCACTCATTTAGCAAACACACACAGAAGTTGGAAGCAGGGGTGTAGAAGCTATTATCAGCTGAGAATGGTGTAGGCTATATGATGTACATGTGGTCACATCTGGTGTGTGAGTAGGTTGAACAGAGATTACAAATAAAATGTGAGTGAATCGTGTTACTACAGCCATATGATGATACATTATGTAGATAAAGAAAGTTATTGGAACATATTTCCTGGTTAGCTGTCAATGGATGCTGAAGCCACGACTGCGACACACCCGGGACTATCTGTGGTGGTGGGGAACTCCGGTGTTGTCGGAGAATTACTAAACTTGTCTATTAAACATGAGAGGCGTCACTTGGTTTTATTTTAGTTGGCCAACTTTTGAATTGAACCTGAAACTGAGCTTTTTTTGTTTGCTTACTGTAATATAGAAAAGGAGGTTTTCGATGAGAAATTGACTCCTAGGAAATTTGAACCGAGATTCGGACTCATTTATCGGTGGTTGAACTGTGGGTATGGAATTGAGCGCTTACTGTATAACACACGGTTTTGTTTTTCTTGTGGTCTGTAGGTAGGCCTACCTAAGGATATATTATAATAATGAGAAAGATAATTTGAGTCAAGTCATGGCATTAGATAATGATATATTTCTTCTCCACCATTACTCATAATAGTAATAATTCATGCAATACATGCATTACCTAATTTCATAATACAGGCCTGGCCTCCAAGAAGGAACAGTGTGTTTAAGCTATCTGATATTGTGTTGGTCATACTATACACTTGATTTATTGCTTGTGCGTTTTCAATAATACAGAAGGTAAAGAGCTTAAAAATTAATTGCAAATTAAATCAAAATATTGGTAAAAAAAAAAAAAAAAATTACATTACATTTTACTTTCAGCCCTATGGTCACTGACCATCCCAGATTCACACACACACACACACACACACATTTTATGCTGAACCACAGATTCGCAGATGTTTCTGACCAAAACGTCTACTTACCCCAGCAATTGGAGTGGTGTGAATTTGGCTATGAATCACATATATGAGCATGTCAGTCTTGTAAATCTCCTGCGACATCTTCTGCATATTAAAGAGGTGGTATTATGCTCATTTTCAGGTTCAAAATCCTATTTAGGGGTTGTACCAGAACAGGTTTACGTGTTGCTGACCAGGTTGGCAATTTGGTCTGGAGCAAGAGTTTGAGACTAAGGACTACTAGCCAATCCGAAGCACAGAAGGGCAAGTCAGTGAAAAGCCGGTCAACACGGCTTCGGTTCAGCAGTATATGTTCCCGTTACCAGCTTAGCAACATGGACCGGAGCAAGAGATTCAGAGTGGTGAGTTATTAATCTGTAACAAAAGTATATTTTATCCATACAGTTTTAACTGAGCTCTGTCTCTATATCACAGGAACAACTTCTTGTCCATTGACTGCTTCGAGGGTAGCTAGTGTTTGGAAGGGAGAGGAGAGACGTGTGCTGCAGCTCAGTGTTTTTCCACAGGTGTTTTTGAGGGCATGTCAGACTAGTCGCTCAGTGAGCATTATGATACGTATTTTCATTGTGACGTCACAAGGGAAGTAAAGGCTGGACTACAAACGAGCTGTTTTCAGGCAGTTCAGAGCAGTGTTTTCTGTGGGAGATGGGAACTCCCTTTGGGGTGGACTTGGGCTTTTTCACTTTGCAACCCTAGATGCACCATACATGCACAGAAAAGATATATAACTCAAAGGAGAGAGAAAAAGCCAAAAACCACAATACCACCTCTTTAAGCAACCCATATGTATGGTCTCCAAACCTAGCATGAGAAACTCTGTCCTAAACTAAATGTAATTAGGGCTGGGTATTAAAACAATGATAAGGGGGAAATGCCTTTTAGGTTGATTATCCAAACATTAAATAGCTCTGCATGACTAGTTTTCATCTTTGGTTCAAACATATAAAGACTGCATTTCCTGTTCAAGAGGATAAACCAACATGAAGACCAGAGAGGTCTCTATGGGAGGAAGGCAAGCCATTGTCAAGCTGAGAAAAGAAGGAAAATCGACCAGAGCCATTGGACAAACATTGGGCACAACAATTTGGAATGTCCTGAAAAAGAAAGGAACTACTGGTGTACTGAGCAACAGACGTCGAACAGGTCGGCCAAGGAAAACAACAGTAGTTGATGACAGAAATATGGTGAGAGACAAAACATCAGTAAGTGACATCACCAACGACCTCCACATTGCAGGGGTGAAGGGATCACAATCCACTGTTGGAAGAAGACTCAGAGAGCAGAAATATAGAGGCCGCACCACAAGATGCAAACCACACATGAGCAGGAAGAATCGGAAGGCCAGATTGAAATTTGCAAAGTAGTACAGAGATGAGCCGCAAAAGTTCTGGAACACAATCTTATGGACTGATGAGACCAAAATTACTCTCTAGCAAAGTGATGGAAAGGCCAAAGTGTGGATAAAGAAAGGAACTGCTTATGATCCGAAGCATACAAGCTCATCTGTGAAGCATGCTGGAGGTAATGTCATAGCTAGAGCATGCATGGCTGCTTCAGGAACAGGCTTATTAATATTTATCGATGATATAACTGATGATGGTAGCAGCAGAATTCAATTCAATTTTATTTATATAGCGCCAAATTACAACAACAGTTACCTCACAGCGCTTTTCATAAAAGAGCAGGTCTAGACCGTACTCTGAATGAATTCAGAAGTGTACAGAAACATTTACGGAGAAATGCATTGAAACTAATGGGGAGGAAGTTTATCATGCAGCAGGACAATGAGCCAAAGCACACTGCCAACAAAACAAAGGACTTCATCAGGGGAAAAAGTGAAAGGTTTTAGACCAGCCAAGTCAGTCACCTGACCTTAACCCAATAGAGCTGCATTTCACCTCCTTAAGAGACTGAAGGGAGAAATACCCTGAAACAAACAAGAACTGAAAGAAGCTGCGGTAAAAGCCTGGAATGGCATCACAAATGAGGAATGCAACAGTTTGGTGATGTCGATGGGTCGCAGGCTTGAGGCAGTTATTGCAAGCAAGGGTTATGCCACCAAATATTAAATGTTATTTACTTTAAGATTATTTGTTCCATTACTTTTGCTCACCTAAGAATGCTGTGGTCTAATACAAACAGTGATAAGTCCTTTGTTTTAGTGTTGTTTAACACATCAAGATGTGAATACCAGGAAATGAGAGCTGAAATTCTGAACTCTTGTCTCATACTCATCTTTTGATCTTAAACCCAAATGTCTTCAGTGAACAACAAAAACAAAGAGTGAGTGAGTGAGAATGTTTTTATGTAGACAAAATTTTGGCTATATCGTCCAGCCCTAAATGTAATGCTTTTAACTTTAACAACAAAAATCAAGGATTGCAACTTGTTACTGGTAGATGGTCAAGAACAGTTAGCTAAGAAGGCATATTTGTGTCAGTAGTCCTTCCCAAAAAGGTTCAAAAGTACCCAAAAACTCACTCAGGGACATATGGATCAATTACCTGTCTTCCCTGTTCTCATTAATTGGCCGATCTCATTTTTATCTAAATCTAATTGCATTTCTTATCATAGCCACATATCGTAGACTTGTTCTTTGAAGAAGGTTGGAGCACTCATCCTCACTTACAAGAACCACAACTCAAACTGGCACGGCGCACTCACCAGGAACTGTGGACTGCCTTCAGGGTATCTGTCCAGCTCTTGGTCCAGGTGAGCCAGGTCCTGGTTTATGCTGTCCAGCTCAGCCTGCAGGCTCTTGTACTCCTGGTGATCCCGGTCAAACTCCCGTTTGTAGGTCAGACGTTCATGCTCATCCACAACGGAAGGAAACAAACTGCAGAAGAGAACAGAATGAAATGTATTATGTTGAAACTGGACATTAATAGTAACACCCTCTGTTAAATACACTCGGTAATGCACACACGGGATGGATGTATGGTGAAGAAATACAAATCAAACCCAGTCACAGTGTCATTCATCATAGCTAGAAAAGCAGCTTAATTATCTTTCTCATGATCATTTCTATTATTGGTAGTCAGATCCCTTCACATCCACTTACACAGTGAAGTCCTCCTCCAGGTCATCTCCAGACTCCACACCAGTGTCATACTCCTTTGGCCTGGGCTTCAACACCCCCACAGAGCTGCTGATTTCAGAGTCTCTGCAAATAGAATAAATGATTTATACATTTTTGTGGCAGCCTTGGGTTTTTTTTTTTTATTTAACCTGTCCTGCCCAGCAGCTTGGTATAGAGTATGATGAGCTGGATACCATATTGTGCCAGACAGATTTTACTTTTACAAGAGAATATTAATATACTCCTTTGTCTGTTTTATTATTTATTTAATTATGTATTGATATGTCACCGGGCCGGGCAGGTGGATGGGGGGACACAAACAGACAGCACAGAGAAAGGACAAGACCTGCAAGAGAAGGGGGATGGAAGGTGGGGACAACAGGGAATAGCAGAGGGAAACGCCCAATTGTATAAAGCAACGAAACCTGCAATAGAACAGAGAGGGGGGCTCGGGGAGGAGAAAAACAACAACAAACAAACAAACAAAATAAAAATAGTAAAAGAAACAGCCGAACAGCAGCAATAAACAGCTGACATAGTAAGACAAGTAAGAGAAAAATGAAAAGAAACAGTCACGCACAATAAATAAGCAACACAGCACAGCCACGAGAGCTGGAATAATAACAATTAATTTAAATAAGTAACTGAAAGAAAAGCATAATTCTACCAGGGACCACCTAAATATGTTTGTTACGACATCAACATGGCCCTCCACTTCATCCTACAGCACCTGGACTTCAAGAACCTAAACCTGGATCCTGTTGGTGGACTTGAGCTCTGCCTTAAACAGTCACCCCAAATCTGCTGCAGGACAAACAGTCCCAGTTTGTGTCTAGCAACCCATCTGCAGGGGGATCAGACTTTCTGTCTGACAGGAGGCAGGATGTGAGGCTGGGAAAACATGTTTCCAACTTCCTGATCATTTGCACCACTTCCCCTACTTCTTTTTCTCTCTACTTAAACAGCTGCACCACCAGTAATCAGTCTGTTACTTCAAGGGCTTGTTGTATTTTATATACACAATAGAAATAAAGTTGCTCTTTCTCACTTTAATGTTGTCACAATATATAAGGCTAGTAACTTGCTATGTTTTTCAGTTGGATACTTCTGAATCTCGCTGTCTCTTGCTAGTTTCTCCAACATAACCTGCACTAGCTTTAAAATCTGTCTAGCTATATGCTATAATGTGTCTTCAATGAGTACACATGTAGTCTCTAGATTATAGTTAGCTAGATTGCAAGAAAATGGTGATTGAAATTTTATGAAATTTGAAAAGCCATGGAAAGGTCTGGAAATTTTCAATGGCAGCCTGTGTTTATAAAATTTCAAGATATAAATTAATTTCAATTCCATGACACTATTAAAAAAGACTGTTCTACTCATATTTAGGGGTCCAAGCAGCAATGCTTCTTTCTTTCTCCGTTAAAACTGTCACCAAAATTTGCAGGTGGGTTGCAAATTCCATCCACGAGTCAGGCACATACAATGACACCCACTGACCTCAAGGTGATGCTGTAATAATGAAGTTTGAGTTCCCACAATTATCCCAAAAAAATCTTGATCACTTATCTATTCAGTCATCTGCATCTGGTCAAATCTTTTTACCTCACCCTCCACAAAACAAATTCCACTTTAACCCCTGACTTAATACTTCTGAATTGAACAATGGCTATGAGGTTAAAGTACTGGATCTTTCAAATGCATAGCTTACCCTGGCATATAAAGAGGCTTGTTGTGGTCCAGCTGGTTCAGATAGTCCCTGGACCCCCCAATTTTGCCATTCTGGTCATTCAGCATCACATCCGGGTTACCGGACACATTGTTCACCTAATACAAGAGACACTGTGTTTATCAGTTTGACAAAGGAGAAATCAATGCAAGTCTGAAGTTCAGCTGTGGTTAAATTTTGTGTCCCAGAATTAAAAGTCAAACTTTAATTCCTAAAAAGGGACACTACCAATTTCACAAATGAAGTTCAGTTTACTATTAAAGGGGGTAGTCATCCGCCTGTGAAAACAGTTGTACAAGTCTTCTGTGGCTCTGGAGTATTTAAAAAACAAACAATCTTTAACTCTTCTCATACAGAGATCAGCAGAAACAACAAAATGAAGCTAGGGTTATCATGTAACAAAAGCAGTGTTTCCCATACAATTGAAAGAAGGTAAAAAATATATAGAATTAGGCTGTATTCCTACTTTTTTGTTCGTTTCTTTGTGCTGGACTTATTTTTAAGACTTGATGGCTTTATCCAGTTTGTTATTAAATTTGTTAGTTCCTCTGATAGTCTGTTTACATTACATGTTCTCTCTATATGGTCAACATGCTGGCTCTATGTGGAAGTCACCAAGACCAACCGGTTTCTCTACTTCTCCCTGCATGCCTGAATACTATACAGATACCATCAACAGGAGGCCTTAGACAATGTCTCTCAGCCAGAACAACTGCAGAAACTTCAGGTCTGAGTGCATTGCTGGAAAAGTACACACACCTGGAATGAAAACTATGCTGTCAGGAAGTGGTTTCAGGTTAACTTTTTCTTCTGTACCACTGTCCTCAAAAGCATGATGTCATTACTGGAAATGTAAGAACACTTAGATTTGTATGACTGTTCTTTAGTACATCCACTCCTTAGGATTTCACGGTGTTATTTAGATGTTGTATGTTCTACAAGTTGTTGGATATGTTTTTGTTTTTTCACGTCACCTGACACAGCACATCATCCTATAATTAAGAGTGGCGTAACAGACCACACCCAGAAACTGCAAATGAAACTATCCTATCCTGCCCCACTTCTAACCTGAAACAAACACACACACACACACACACACACACACACACACACACTTATTACTTGTGATCCGTCTTAACAAATACATCGTGTTGTTTCTGCATTCTTTTAAGTCATATATTTTCCTAGTTTAGTTATGGCTTAAGGACATCTGTAAGTGTATTTAAGGCTACACTCTAAAGAGAGACACAACAGCAGGCTACTGGAAAGACAAATCCACTAAGTGAAATATTCAAACCCAGGATTCAATCAGTTTTTATTGGATGTACCATCATGTCGATGAAAATATTCTAATAATCTCCGAAACTGACCCTAATATATTCGGTATCATTCTCTCCAGAATTTTAAATGAAACTTGCAACAATGCTTAGCTTCAAAACAAGCATTTGTAATGACTGACCCAGATGTTGTTAAGTGGGATTTAAGATGTTTACATCAGTGGATTGAATGTTGATTGACCATTTAACACTTCGTACTTGAGATGCACCAATCGAGACAGTAACTAACCACAGAGATGCTAAAACATCAGTGTGGCAATTCTTCACCGTGAGTAAAGACGACCCAAAGCTCATAATTTCTAATCCCTGTAGCGCCAAAATAAGCACCGTTTCCCACACAGACTTTACTACTGCCCAGGTAAATTAACGGTCACCAAAGTCTATTTTGGCATATGATAATATGGTTTGATTGTGGGCTAAAATCACCAGTTTTTCGTCATTGCTAAATTTAATTATGAAGTACAATTTGATATTCAACTGCACTGGTGTGATGTTGCAGCCTTTGCAAAGTGAAGCGATGCAGTTCCATGACAAAAAATACTTTTGGAGAGTTTCTCAAAAATGTATGACAATCACGTAAGGAGAATTTTCAGATATTCATTACTCGTAAATTTACCACTCAATTTAAAGCATTTCCCTCCCCCGGCTCATGATTTTTTTTAAAACTAGAATGGCCCTAATACGTAGCTGTACCTTAACATCTCAAACATATTACAAATAAAAGAAGAGTCCAGAAGACAAAATACAGAATCACAACAAGAACACTGTAAAGTTACTTACAAATGTACTCAATGTGCTGGCTAATAACCTGGCTTTGTTGGCCGCCATGGTTTTAGATTTGGCCATTAACGTTTCTTTACACCCCTCATACTGCCCTTTATTGCAAATGTGCACAAACTCCAGTTAGGCTGACACCGAATCAAGTAACATCTTATTATTTACTGGCGCCATTTAACACCAATCAAGGCAGTCAGAGTTTGTCAGCCCTGACCTTCATTGATATACCCAGAGTTAAATCTGAGTAGGTTCAACTCCCTTCGTAGTACATGACTCTGATGTTTAGTCTTCATTTGTTGAATAAAATATATATTTATTGATCCAGGCTTTTGCTCTTCAGCAAACATGTATCTCAAACAAACAAAAATAACACACTCACCCACTCCCCGACGCTGTTGTGTGTTCCAATTTTGAGGACCTTCACTTCCTCCCAGAGAATGCGGTCCTGGCCCCAGCGCCTGATCGTGGAGCGAGTCTTGACTGCATACACCAGCAGGATGATGAGGGCCACACACACAACAAAGCCCAGGACGATAGCTATGGCCTGTAGGAACCATAGGACTCAACATCAGTCGGCTGACATTACATCCACTAACATGAATACGAAATAACAGGGAGGTCTGAAGGTGGGAGCTAACCCCACCCTAGCCAAGAGTCTGACTTATTAATGCTGGGAGTCGACAGAGCAAACAGGACAGCTCCAAGCTGCTACCGCCACACTGGATTGTGTTAAAAGGGTTAGTTCACGAAAATCCCACTTTAAAATAACAAGGGACACTTCTGCCACTACCCCCAAACAACAGGAGTGAGGTATTTGGAAACACTATCCTGGCTACTCAGTATAATCCACAGATAGCTGCTATCTATGTCTGTGCTTAAAGATGTAAACAACTTAATTAAAACCAGTGACTGACTGGATGGTACGAGACATTCAGAAAGCTACAGTAAAATTCTGCATAATACCTCTGTAAACGGTCAGCAATGATACAGCGACAGCACAAGTGATGGGGCTGACATTTACAATGTGCCCAATCTATGAATCTGTATGTATTTATTTGCCTCTCTCATGACACTGTAAAATACTGCAAAATAAATCAGGTAACAGTTTGAGATGAAAATGACATGTTATGGCTACAACTGAAAAATAAATCTGAACAAATTGGATTCATTACTGGGTTCCTGTTGTTAAAAGGAGCTATACAGTATTTACACCCCGCCCCAAAGGACCCTACGACCACCACAACCTCCCAAAAAAGCAAACGTCTCACACCTCTTGGGGCTCCACCACACAGTAATGGTACAGGTATTGGTTGAGGAAGATTCCCTGGGCCTGGGTCTGGGTCTGGTACTGGGCACACAGCTGGATGATCTGGCTGTAGTACATAGACCCTGTGGACTGGGCTGTTGGGTTCACCGCCACCAAGTACACAAAAGTGGCGATCATCATCAGAATCGCCAAAATGGCACAGATGATGATGGCTGCTAGGTAGAACTTTGGTGAGCGGGCAGTATTTTGCCTCGAAATAACCAACACAAATATGATGAGTACAGCGATGAAGGTTATGGCAGCGATGGCAATGATGAAGCCTTTGCCAGCGACGGGATCCATGTATGTTCCTCCGTAGCCATAGCCGCCGGCAATGCCACCAGTGCCTCCATACATGCCGCCAAAACTGCTGCTACCATATGAGCTGCCGTATGAGCCACCTGGCATCATGCCAACTCCACTTCCCAGACCCATCATGTTCATATCGTAGTCCCATGCCAGCGTGGAAGCGACACAGGCAAACATAGCCACACACATGATGATGATGATGATGCACATTATCTTCATCACACCAGGCGGTGAACTCCAGAGATAGAACTGAGGCAGATCCTCTCCTGGGTAGTAGGAAAAGGCTGGGTTGGACATGAGCTCATTGTGCCTGTGTCTGCTGCTGTGACTGCAACAGAAGAGGAGAGAGATGCTGTGGTCAATGTGTACTGCCGATTATGCAAATATGCATTATATATGTACATCAATTAGTCGATAAATCAATTAGTCAATCAACAAAACATTCTTCTTCAACTACTTTGGTTTGTTTTACAAACCAACCTCAATAAAAACACAGAAACAACCAGGGCTACACACAGGGCTTCAAAATTAGTGAGGTCCACTTTTGTTTCTTTAATAGAGCTTATTTACAATAATTCAGTGAAAGCTTGAACTGGGCAGTGGGCACAGCACTGTGGCTGGGTGAAAAACACATTAACTACAGGCTGTTCATCATGGTTTTTCTCCTTCACTTTTTGGCTCACTAAAATTGCATAAAATAAGAGTCATGATCAGGTAGTGCAAATGTGACAGGGAAATCTTATTATTAGTAGTATAGGGCTACTAATCTTCAAAAATGTATTAGGGTGTAACGGAACACAGAATTCATGGTAGCTACAATTTCAGTACAGTGGAAATGGCCCTAGCAATGTCAGCTATCATGCACTACATAGAAACCCAGAAACCTTTGCCTTAAACAGAATATCATCTCAGCAAAATTAGTACCTGTAAGAAATGACAGTTATAAACTTGAGAGGACAGACAAAAGGAAACTATCCAGAGGAAACAGAATTTTAGCGTTAACGTTTAGCTGTGGCTCAGGAAATAGAGCGGGTTGGCCGTTAATCAGAAGGTCGGCGGTTCAATCCTGGCTCCCCCAGCCTGCATGTCGAAGTGTCCTTGGGCAAGACACTGAACCCCGAATTGCCCCTGGCGGCTGTTCCGCCAGTGTATGAATGTGTGTGAATGTTAGTTTCTGTCTGAGCACTTAGGCTCAGTGTGTGAATGGTGAATGCAGATGTAGGGTAAAAAAAGCGCTTTGAGTGGTCGAAAAGACTAGAAAGGCGCTATACAAGTACGGAGCATTTACATTTACTTCTGAAATTATTTAGATGCTCTAATGGAGCACAGGATTGATGAGAGGACAACCTTTTGGATGTGGAGAACAACATAGAACATTAATTAACATTAGATCCTGACTAATCCTGTTGGTGTAATATTCAGTTTAATATTTAGTTTGTTTAATATTGAGTTACGGTGCTGTGACTCGTGCGCAAATGTACACAGCGTCTCTCTTGATGGGTGGACGGCTCCCCCTATTTCACCCACCTGAAAATTCACAAGACAGATTTATCTCATACCCTTATCCAAGGTAAATGCTATCGCCCAAAACTCTGACTGCAAACTGTGGTGCTCTCACTTATTGCACAACGTTTTCATGTGTTTCCCCTGTCCTGACACTGATCAGGGAACAGTTTTTCCAAGTTAAAATGAGGGTTGCGACAGTATAATCAGATGCGTCCGCATGGTCCTAAAAGCCTTTGTTTAAATTGACCTTGTTATCAGTGGTTTTTATTTAAATATTTTTATTGATAGGCTATAGTCTTCATATAATTATGGCCGTCCAGACCTCAGTGACCTCATAGCTGGTTACAGCCAGACATGATATAGCCTCCATGTTTCATTCAAACTGTAAATTAGACTTTCAGAATTTCTCATTACTCAACACTTAATACTCAAACAATAAATTCTTTAAATCCAATGCTCCATGTCACTATGTTAGTTACAGTAGCGGTCATGTTCTATCCATGGGAACGCAGCAGTCAAGGCTTTCGTCATCCTGAAGTGAGCATAGTTTCATCAGTTTTTCAAGTGGGGCTAGAAAATGCATGGAGGAAGTAACAAAAATACATTTCAAATGCATTTTCATCACCTCCATTTTTTTCTTTTTCTAAAATAAATCAACAGATTAATCAACAATTACAATAATCGTTAGTTGCAGCCCTATTGGCCGCTATCAAAGCCAAGTACTTCTGATAGTGATAGTTTGTAAAAACGTTTCAGGGATGATTAATCAGCCAAACCAACCAATGAATCTGTCGTCCTCTAATATGTATCCAGTAATGAATCTAGTAAAAATGAAGGTCAGCTTACTGTTTGCTACCACTTGTATGGTACGGCGGGGGGTTGTATTTGTTCCTCGGCATATTGAATTGCAACTGGGACAAAACCTGCAACAAAAACAAATGAAAACCAGTACTGATTTGAAAAAAAACACAAGTGACTTTTGTAGAATGTCCGATCAACTCTCTTCCTTATGGTGCCACAAACAGTAGCCATTTTCTAAATGTGTTTGAATGTGCTCCAACCTTTCAGGCAGAGAATTTATTTACAATGAAACTGATTGACTTGGGTGCTGTTGTGTAGTGGAGGCCTTTCAAATGAATCACAACTTAAAACTCTATTTCACTTTATGTACTGAACTTTAGGGCTTAGGGCAGTAGTCTTCTATGAAACTTGTAGTCAAACTTGTCAAATGTTATGTCACTGCCCAAACACAAAAATCTTCTACAACTCTTATAAGTAATAATAAGTAAGGAAGACAACGAATCTGCCAAGATATACAGTAGGTTGCTTGACAGCTTGATACTCTTTGCTAAAAACATATTTCTGTCAGTAGCATAATAGTATGGAGGTTCCATACCCCGCCCTACTGATGTGAAGGTAAACCAGCGTCTGCCTGGAGGGTTTAGAAAGCACTGAAAATATAATGCTATGCTTGTGGTAATTTTGTGTGGGAAGCAAATTAGTAAGGTATCCCATGTTCATTTAGTACTTGATTGATTCTTAATGAAGCGAGCTATCGAATACTCAAATCTTTGTCAATGAGCAGCTTTTCGGCCATAAGAAGAACAAAACCTGCTGCTGGGACTTCAGGTTTGTTTGTGGTGAAACAAAGCAGCAGCAACAGCAGGGGGGTGGAGATACTGGAACAAAACAGACTGGAGACGAGTAGCAGATGAGTCCAACTGAGCTGGGTCAACTAGTTTTCACAGAGAGTCAAACTATAGACTGTTAAATCTACAACGCATGCTGTATTTTAACTAAAATATCCGGGTCTTTTCTCATACACCCTATATTTCGCTGGACTAGTTGATATGATAGTTTCAAATCAATCAAGATTATATGAGTAACGTTAAGCCTTTTAAAATAATAATTTCAGGCTGTTACTGGAGAAGGGGGGAATGTAAAAAAGACCCAGCCAAAACAGAAAATAACATAAAAGTGGCTTACCGCTCAACAAACACACGAACAAATCAAGTAACTGCATCTTTTAAAATGGTATAACGTTAGCCTAATTACACTTCCCTAGGGTCCTTTAAAAGCTTTAACGTGTAAATTATCTGACTTCATTTGTCTGTTATTACATTCTCTCCTCAATATTAGGTTATCATTTCACCCACCTGGTACGATGAACTGTTTGTTCCCGGTGAAGACAGCGGACGCTGAAGTGACGAACACAAACAACAAGGCGCGCGACCGCATCCCGCTGTAGCTATAGCCTACCGCGCGCACAAGGCGGGAGTACGAAGGGAGTAGCCTACAGGTGTGTTCTGATCACGTGGCCTCCACCGCAGGTCATACAGGACTAACCTGTCCTCTCCCCCGGCAGCTTTCATAACATAGGCTATAAAAGGAAAAAGCAGCACACCGTTTACTCTTCCAGGGACTCCACACCCTGAGTCCATGTAAAGCAATCATCAGGTTTTCATTGTGGAGAACATTGTGGAAACTGCGGGTTTCAGTTGAGGGCAGGTAAATTAGACTGCTTACAGCGTTTTTATTAAATTCATTGTTGTCATTTATCAAAATGAATTAAACAGAGCTTATATGCTTATATGCATTTTTCATACAATCAATATTTTTCAGTCATATTTTTTTAGTGTAAGAAATCCTGCATACTTTGAAATTAATTTAAAAAAAATTATTGTTAACATAGTAAAATTTGAGTGTGACCAATTCTTCAAGTCTTGTCAATTTGAATGTAAAATATATCTTAAAAATTCTACGCTTTTGTTCTGATCTAAGGCTCTCATGCTGATCCAGTTTAAAGTTAACTGGAAGAAAAACTCTTCCAGAGCTGCAAAACCTGGCACCAAGAAAACAGTTTTGAAAAAATTGGCCTCCACCCCAGTTCAACAAAAACCAGTCCTCCAGTCCTCCTCTGCAGTAGTAAGAATTATTCCTGGATGCTTACTGAGGGACACATTTACCTGCACTAACTAGCCAATGCCTTTTTCCCAGCCTTGTCATGGGAGGAGGCCCACATGCCTACTTAGGAGCTCTCCTAAGCTCCTAAGTAGGCATGGCCACATGCTGACATCATCGAAACCAAACAGCACATCATCGTAAAGTAATGAAAGTTGAACAGAAATGTTAGCAAATACCGAATATTTTGCCTAAATGTAAAAAATTTAACTATATAGCTAAGGACAGCTATAAAACATGTGTATGCTCAGTGGTGGAAGAAGTATCCCTTTACTTAAGTAAATACCACACTGGAAAAAATACTCTATACTCAATTTAAAAAATCTGCATTGAAAATGTTAATGTAGAAGTATGTAGGTAGGCTATAATAGGGAAAATGTACTTCAAGTATTAGTAGTTCTCAATGCAGAAAAATGTCCCTTGAAAAATGTTTACTGCTGGAGTTGTTGAGCTGCAGTTCATTCTGAACTATTTTGTATCTGACTGCAGCTAATGATTATTTTTCATTCTGGTTTAATCTGCTATTTATCTAATCTATTTTCTCCATGAATTGATGGATTGTTTGATTTATAAAAAATTCTGAAAATTGGGAGAAATGCCATCACAGTTACCCATAGCCCAAAGTAACACCTTTTTAATGCTTGTTTTGTCTAATAAACAGTCCAAATCTCAAAAGCAGCAAATCTTAACATTTGTAACGCTGGAACCAGGAAATGTTTTTACATGAACAGTTACTCTATGATCAAAATAGTAGCCAATTTTTCAACTGACTTATTGATTAATTGGCTAATTTTTTTCAGCTGGACAGGTTACCTTATAACAAAACATATTTATAAATTCTTATATTTTGTTTGTAAAAATCTTAATTGGTAACATAACTGAAGCTGTCATAGTGAAGTCAAAAGTACAATATTTCCATCTGAGATGTAGTGGAGAAAATGAAAGTGAAGAATTGGCATGAAAAGAAAATACTCAGGTAAAGTACAAGGGCCTCTATTTGTACTTAAGTGCAGTACTTGAGTAAATGTATTTAGTTACTGTCCACAACTGTGTATGGTAATCTCACTATCAAGTCCACAGAAAGAGCATTTAATATCTTCTTATTTTTTGTAAGTAATGTTTTGCTGAAGAAAAGGTTTAAAACAGACATTGCAAAGTTTATTTGTTATCAAGTATCTTGAAGAGAAGGTTCAAACTTTTTCCCACCAGCTATTTGGGACAAACCTTCCCCAGTAATGGATCACATATCTGACGGATCTGATCCTTCTGTTTTGGGTTTAAGGGATTGATTTAAAAAAAATACTGTTTTTTAATGTAGTGTTATGTTACTGTTATATATGGCCCTATTGGAACTGAAGGAATTATTATTTTTAGGGCCCGAGCACGAATCGTGCGAGGTCCTTATTGAAATTTCTTTCTTTTTTTCTTTCTTTCTTTCTTCTGCAAAGTAATCTCAATTTTGGGGGGCCTAAACATACTCAAAAACTCACCAAACCAAACCAAAATTTCATATTTTATGGGTTTCGCGAATGTGCGTGGCAAAATGGCTTGCTTGTCCAGATGTACAAAAAAGCCTCTTGGAGCCATTGCCTAAACCAAACAGGAAGTCGGCCATTTTGGATTTAATGGTCATTTTTGGCAATTTACACACTTTGTACTTCAAACTTCTCTTAGGGAATGAGTCTGATTGACTTAAAATTTTCCCTGTGCGGTCTAACCCATTGACAATTAAAAGTTGTACAAACGGTTATTATCAGTCGGCCAGTTTCTGCACCAAATTTTCAATACTCACTCAAAGGGGATGAGACACTGTCACTTTAGGGCTTTGGGTGGGTAACTTTTCTAATGGAAGCTCAGAGAAGCATGTAAAACTGCAACTCCTTAACTTAACCTTGCCTAAACCTAACCAAACTACAACCGTTTCACATTAACCCTGTGTTAAAAAGGCGTTTCGTCTCATCCAGACGCTAAAGGGTACTTGCATTGTATGAGATGTATGACAAAAGTGTCAGGTCGGCAAGACTTGGCTTCCTAGAAAATGACTGCTGTAGTAATAATTTCACTGATAAACAAAAATGGTCTATAATAATGGTCAACCAAGTTTACCACATTAACCAGACTATATACTTACTATAGATCAGGAAAAATATACATTTGTTTTGGCAAACTTATTTTCTAGTTGTACCAAGGAAAATTAAACAATACATTTACAATAAATAAATAAAAATATCAATTATGAACATATAACTTTATTCTGATTGCACTGTGTTTAGAATGGTCTTAACTTTATTGGCTACCCTCATTCATCATTACCATTGCTTTGGATTAACTGAGCTTGTGCAGTTATTGAATTGAAACAGGAATGGACAGATGGAACAGTCACTCAAACTGTGCATAATTCATTGGTATAAACCAGTACCATAGACATATAAATCTAAAGGCTAAACACATTGGCATAAACCAGTAGGACAAACCAGCTGTGACACAAACACTTACATCAAACATATCAATGCACATACACATAAGAGTTTACAAAAGGAGTGACTAAAACTAATCTAAAAATACCCATCCGTTATGTTCTTCACTGCAGTTTCAGTAACAGGATGAGAGACAGTTTTAGTAAATTTTCACATTGCACCTCATAGTTCAAAATAGACAGAGGAAATTTAATGTAAAACAAAAACAAAACAGCAGCACACAGAAAGCATTAAGGCAAGCAGATAAACCTCGACAGTATGACACAAGCAGAACACAGAAGTACATCCTATCGGACAAAAAATAAATGCTGTTAAACTAACCTACAACACACTTCTACTGACATCTGACGTCTGTTGCAGTGGGATTAGTCTTAGTGGAAAATAAAGCCTTCAATAACACTGAGTCAGCCTTTACATCAGCTTCCTTGTTTCATTAATCTATAGTATTCAGGCAGAACGTTTAACTAGGAGACTTCACACTGTGCACAGAACAGTCACACATTTTAGGATATGTACTTGATAGTCATCTTACCCACATTCACAAGATCATTTCTTGTATAAATAGTTTGTTTCACAAGAACAGCAAACAGTTATAACATGAGGTGTATAACATGTCCACAGCAAAATCAATAGAGGGCCTTGGGTCTCTTTTGATGGAATTAGTCTAGCAGTGTACCTCTGCTTCTGGTCTTTGCAGCTATGAGCTAAACACAGTCAGATAAAATGGCAAAAAAAGTATATTTCCCAAAATGTTCCCTTAAAATATGATCTGCATCAGGACATGCTGTTCATACGTATAATGAACACGACATGTATTTAGGTTACACTTGATCCATCCCAGCTGTCTGCCTTCGGTCCATGTTTTCAGATCCCACTTTTGGTGAAGCTTGCTTTTTCTTTTTCTTTTACCACTCTCTTGATGGACATTTCTACCCACTCTTGATGTTTCTTCCTTGGTCTGTCCTTACAACATTACTAACAGCAGTGATGAGCATGTTTTGTTATATAGTTGCAGACTGCATATGAATTCCACATGCTTTAAAGGCATTATTAAACTGCAGTGTTAAGTTGCTGTTGTTCCATTGAATGACTTGTTGTTGTACTCCTGAATTTTCTTCTTGATGTGGGAGAGCTTGTTCTTTAGGTACTCACACCTATCCCTTTTTTCCAAATATGTTGGGTCCTGACAAGAAAAACAGAAATGAAGTTAATTTGATGTAATGCCTACATATCAGGGTCAGTCTCTGTGGTAGTCAGAGACAATCAAGGCATTTTAATGTGGCTTCACTGAATGGGGAATAGACTAACACATACAACACAGTACAATACATTTCTTTACACAGTTTTCAGTAAACCAGACAAACAAATAAATAAGGAAAGAAGAACATTGTAGGTAATGGGGGCACTTACAGAAAGTTATGTAGAAGTCATGTCAAAACATAGTACTTAACGTTTGCAGTAATTAAATCTTATATAAAATTAGGGGAGTTGAGAGACTTCAAAAAGATTAAAGAGAGAGAAATCTAAATTAAATTAGCAGCCTGATTTTTGCTCCTGGTGTGGGTCAAAAAATTCACATAATGAGGAATTCAAAGTCTACAGCCCCAGCTTGTAAAACAGGCTTTCAGCTTTTGTAGTCCCAATAGGAAATAACCTTGATGACATCACCAGGGTTATTATTTCAAACTTTCAAAAGTCAGAAGCCACTGCTTTTACATGCTGAGCACTACTCTTCATGACAAGTAAACAAATCTTCATGTGTAAAATTTTCAAAAATATCTAGCATTGTTTTCACAAGCTTATTGTTTTTACTTCTACCTCTCAAGTTATATGCAATAGTGAGTATTCAATAAAGCTAGTGAGGCTTTAAAAAATAGTCAGTTCCACTGCAAAACTCCACCGCATGCTACAGTACTGAAGAACATGAGTTCATCAAACTTGTAGAAGTTCACAACATCTCAACTATGATACACTGTATGGACATAGATGAGTAAACAATCACAAGCTTCACAATAGTTCCAGTAGGTTGATGACAACTTATTAACACTTCACTGGTTATGATAACAGCATGGAGAATTCCTTTCTTAACTCAAACATTCAAGTAGTGTTAAGTGGTTTTGGTTGATGCAACTGGGATGAATGACCTGATAAGCTTATGCTTTTGTTACGGTGACACAGTGGTTACTATACTATAATTAAAGCATCTTGCATAACATCATGACTTGCTCAAATTTTTTAAATCAATTATGAGAATGTACTTTTATACCCTGGCAAAATGATATACACACGACAATGCTGTTGTTACATGTGCATAATGCAGTTGCCTGCAATGCCTGCAGTCTCCCTTGGGTTCCCTTATGTTTCCTGTTCCCTGTGGTTCAGTATTCCCATGTCTGTTTCTCTCTCTCTGTGTGCTTGTGTATGGTGTGTGTGTTGCCATTGTTGCCTTCTCTGGCTCCTGGCTCTGAGGCCTGTACTATGAAGCAGGATTTGAGGTTGGCGAGGTTAAAAACATATCCTGGGTATGCTGAACTTGCCTCGTAGTACAGGCCTTTAGTTTGTTCCCCCACCTGCCTGCCATCAGCTCATCCTCCTGCAGTTTATCTTCTCCGGCACATCACTCCTTGACAGAGTGTTGTTTTTGGGAGCTCTACCTCTGGCAAAACTCCAGCAATACTTTGTCTATTGATTTCTGCTTCCCTGTGTCCATTTTCTATACTTAAGGATAACTGCCAACAACCCCTCCTTATTCCCTCCACTCACGCCAACAACACTCCTCCAGTACCACCGTCACCCCTGCTCCACTGGATCCCCCTCTCCCAGCCACCAGCCCACATCCTAATCCCCTTTACAATAAAAACAATACACTTATTTAAAAAGTAAATGTAAATGCTCCGTATTTGTATAGTGCCTTTCTAACTCCTGCAAGAGAATTAGTCCAACCGGCTTCAGATTTTCGCTGTCTAGTCTAATCCCACTGACAATTGAAAGTTGTACAAACAGTGAGTTTTTGTGACACGGCATGCCAGTGGCGTGGCGTCCAAAATTGATGATTCGCCATGAAAGAGGAAGTTCTGTGTAACTTCAGTGTACATGCTCACATCTGCAGCAAACGTTACGTGCTTGATAACAGTCCTGCCCCAAACACATCTACATGTTCAGTTGTAGTCGTAGTGTGAAGTCCTATCTAGCGCGAGAAAGGGGACACAGGAAGTGATGATTAACACGTTTGTGCAGCGTCCGAAGCCCGTGACAAATTCCGCCTCACACCTTGACGTGTGACACGTGCGAGGGCCCGTCTAACGCTGCTGTATGTTATTGTCATTTGAATTGCTATTCTGTTCCCTTTCTTGGCCAGGGAACCATTGAAAAATAGATGTTATCTCAGTGGGTCTTTTTCTCCTGGTTAAATAAAGGTAAAAATAAAATAATAAAAAATATCTACTTACATTTTTCTTCTTCTGATATTCCATTAAAATGCCATTGATCCGCTCCTTTTCCTGAAAGAAAATTAGCCTGTGAAAATTAACTACTTTTAGTGTGTGTGTCCATGTGTGTTCCTGTGTGTCTGTGTGTGTGTGTTTGTACAAGGTGGAGTGAGGGTTGTACCATTTGGCTGGAAGGCCGGGAGGGAAGGTTCTGGATTATCTCGTCCATCTCTTCAAACTTCTTGGCCATGGCCTGAACCTCAGCGTGCAGCTCCTTGTACTCAGCATACTGGTCATTGAACACAGCCCGATACTGGTCCCTCTCCTCCTCTGAGTGGATGCTGGGGTACTTCCTGTGAAGGACAGGAGTCAACACATTTTCTTGAGCCAGTGGCTACATTCACATTGCAGCTGAATGTTGTTCTCTCTTAGCAGCACCTACTACATATGACAAGATCAATCAGTCAGTCATCGAAATCAGTCTGTTTTACGCAAGTAATGGCCAGCTTACCATGAAATCTGCTGTACAACAATGGTCAGGTCTTCATTTGTACTGTGTGTACTGAGCAGAGGTGGGACTCGAGTCACATGACTTGACTCGCAAATTTGAAGACTTGAGACTTGCTTGACTAAAACAGACAAAAGACTGGACTTGACCTTGTTATCATGATCTATGACTTGACTTAGACTTGAGACAGATGACTTGAAAATGACTTGATTTTTTAAATAAATACCTGCATTCACTCATTCCAACCTTTGCGCATAATCCTGCAACCATACAACATACAATAACGTTGGTACGAATCTCCGTAACCAGCAGCGTAGAAAAAGGACAGTTACGTGTAGTACAACACAGACATTCAAGGATTATGTTATCGATGACGGTAGGAAGAAAAGAACAGCGGTCTGCAGCTCAAAAATCTGTTACATGACCACCTCGACATCCAACTTCATCTGTCTCTACAGAACCCATAAAGAAAGATCCGTTACGTGAATGCAGCTTTTTAGCTAACTTTACTTATAGGCTGGTCGAACGCATAGAAAGCTAGCATTAAGTTTGAGCTACACCCAGTTGTTCGGCTGCAGTTTGTAACTTTATGTGAAAACCTCCTGTTTGTAACAGGTCCTGATGACAGCTCTCTTTATGAGCCCACAACTGCTATATGATACTCCGTTTGAAAGCTAAAATCCTCTTGATTCGACCAATGCAAACCATTTCAAGATACAATCACCACAGCAGTACCAGTACAATCAAAATTGACGGAACTCACATTTGGAGCCTCGTAGATCGATTATATTAAAACAAAAATGGTCTTGTTACGTTGTCAAAGGTCCAGACAATCCAAACCAGTAAAACTATTTAGTCCAAAACACATTATTCCATCAATAAATCCCCAGGGACTGCTGCTGCATCATTTCGTATTAGCGGGCAAACATAGCTAATATGTCATTATAACCGTAATAACTCAGATATCTTGTATTCAAATCAGAGTGACACCTAATTCGACCCAATAGGAGCTCACATGTCCATTTCACAGCCTACAACAACCTGAACCCTTTAAAGGGTTCTGACAACAACCAACGAGAGCCCACACTGTAAGGAAGAGCCAGCCCCTATTATTTCTTGGGTAAGCCGAGCCAATTGCAACCAATTGTGCCGATGACTGGCACTTTGTGTAGCCAATAAAATTCTGAAAATAATGATATCCAGCTTCCCAAGTTCATGATCTACCAGGGAAAAAAACACATCGGCGTCAATCCACGGGCAAGGATTTTACTCTCAAAGTGCACCAGATTGATGCATTTAACTTTAAAATGTACAAAACTTTCTTGTGGTCTGAGGTCCACACACCATAGTTTCACAAAACCCTGTAGGAAACACTGTAGCTATAAGTTTGTTGATTTTGAAGTGGGGGGGATGCTTTGGGACCCTCAATCAATCTTCAATCTAGTTTTGTGCTTATAAATTAAATGCCTGTCCCATATAGACACCTGTCTCAAATACAGGCAGACTGAGTTCAGTATTGAAGAATATAAAAGCATAAGCTATTAATTGAAGTTTTACAGTAAGAAGGTAATACTCACGCCACATAGTCAGCTATAACGACAGGTTTGGGGATGTGTCCAGCTGGTATGTGACCTCGGAGGATCTCTGGCTCCAGCGCCATCCTAGAAGCAGCTGCAGAGTTGATCGGGGCGTCCATTAGGTCTGGCTGGATGGTAGGGAGAGGAGTGTGCTCAGAGGCCCTGGAGGCTGGACCCAGCTACAGCAGATAATCAGAGTTATGTGTACTGTATCATTCATTGTATCGTTCATGTGCACAGTGTGCAAATGCATGTTTGCTAGAACAAGGATCACAAAAGTAATCATTGATACTTACTATAGAAAGGGGGACTGATGATCCATTAGTTTTCATCTAGGTTTATTGTGATGAGAAAAAGAGATGATTCATTAGATGTTCAGTGTTGAAATTGTTAAAAAATAAAATGAATGGCCACTTTAATGAAACCTTGTGTTTTGAATGTTACTAGTGTGTTGAGACTTCCTGGTAGATTTTTCAGATCTGACATCTGAATACAACATGTTTATTATGTAAAATCCAACTGTTAACATGTATGCTCAACTATATATGCTATTGCCAAATAATTGCCAGAAGATGGTAGCTAGGTGCTGTAGGTCATACGAATCAGTTTTGTGGCCCACAGTCCAGTGTGTTCAAGTGTCAAACATCATGCTCAAAGAGGAAACTAATAGAGTATCCGCACTGGGGTTTACTATACTTCATTATTTTCCCTTAAAATATTTAATAATATTATATTATTGGTCCCCCCATAGTTTTGTCTGTTTTATAAATGAGAACAGAAAATGAGTTGGAAAAAGTTAATGTTTTCATGGAGTCTGGGCAGCATTGTTTATTCACTGCACTTGGAAACGAATGCAGCCATAAAAGTATGGATTCCTTACGCAGAAGTCTGTTTTCTTTTGTGAAGACTACTGAATAGCTCACAAATGTTCAGGCAAGCTTAATCTTTGGTCATTTGTGATCCAATGTTTAAATGTGATTCAGAGATTTCTTTCAAACTAATTTGGTTGCAGATATCCAGATTTGGTACAGTTATAATGCTGCATTTCAGTCTAAGTTGGAGGTTGGAGTTTTCCAGTTGAAATTTCCACCTTCCGATCTCAAAGCGTTCCATGGCCCTGTACAGCAGGATTTAAGGTCAGTGATGTAACTTCAGGGTCAACTCTGAGTTTTCAGTCCTACAACGGTGGTTCATTTCTTACTGGGCCATGGTAACTTATGCTGAACAGTCATCCTGGGCCGGAGCAGGTTATGTTCCAGATAAGAGATCAATGCTATAAAAACACTGCCTAATGACTGACCAATTAGCTCTCTTGGAAAATGACATCACCTGTAGGAGATCCCACAGACTGTTTTATGGGCTGCTTTTATGCTGTGTGTGATGCACTGATGCTTTTGTATATCAATATCATCCTACAGAAACTGATTGAAGTATGCTAAAGCCTTGTACTTGTTGTACTTTAAGATATGACAGTAAGCCTAATCACTGCTTTGAAATGTGTTTTTCTTTGCTGCCAAGTCCATTTCACACAGCCTGTTATAGCTGTTAAAAGAAATGGATTTCAAATATATGTATCTGATATTTTAAGAGATGAGAAGTTCTTGGAAGTGAACCTGTGGCCTGTGGCTTTAACATCGAACCGCCGGCACACAGCCGACACAAAGAATGAGGCTATAATTGTCCATAAGAACACATCATACATTCATGTACTGTATATGGTAATTTATGCAATCACAGTCTGTGATTTTCTGTCTTCCTACACGTGGCAGCTGCAACTGTGTTGCTTTTAGTCCAGATTACGTGTGTGCCTTCTTCATATTTGTCTAATATTATGGTTACCTCTTCAGCTTTGCAAAGCATAATGTCCATATAAGTACAGAAATACAAATAGTAGTGTATATGTATGTGTGTGTGTGTGTGTGTGTGTGTGTGTGTCAGACCTCCTGTTCCAGCCCCTCCTTCCTCCTCCTGGCTGCTTCATGTCTCCACAGCTTCAGACATACACCTGCACTGATGAAGTACAGCAGGGTAGTGATGAAGAGGAAGACAAGGGCTGCTGTCTGGCCAGCTTCTGTGCGACAGAACGCTCCGTTTACTCCACTATTGAAGACCGGTATATAGCACAGCCCCCCTCGAGTAGTGTCCCTCACATATACTATTGCTGCTGCCAAATAGAGCACCGCCAAGACTAAGTTGATGGAACACTCTGTGAGCGGCCACCATGAAGAGTCTAGAAGGATGGCTCTGTAGTATATGGTCATCCCAAGAACAACCAGAATAACAGTCACGATCCACGCGAGACCAGCCACCACCAGGATAAAAGGTGTCTTGGGGCCTGTGTAGTAACTGCCCCCATATCCACTAGCACTTCCACCGAGACCCCCAAACAGCTGAGGCTGGGAGTATCCATACATATTGAACCACTCGTTGTCCTTATGAATATAAGCACAGACGCAGGCGAACACAGCAGCTCCCAGCAGCAGTTGAATACAGCCCAGGATCCTAAGCAGGCCAGCCCAGGACTTCATGTAGGCGTAGCGTTGGTGGTATTCCTCCACCCGCTCCTGGTAGGTCAGGGCCGAGAGATTGGTGGGCACTGCTGATACGGAGTCAAAGGCTTCAGCGCCCAGCAGCAGCCTGTCACGCTCCTTCTGAGAGGTGTAGCTGCCCCCAGAGCCACCAAAGGGGTCCCGATAGGAGCCGGGAAGAGATGGAGATGGAGGGGCAGAGTGGGGAGGTGAGCAGGGGACTCCTAACGTGGTGTGGCCATTCCAACTCTTCTTGGACGAGGGGACAGGGGACTGAGAAGCAGGTAGAGGTGGTGGTGGAGGTGGGATGGACAAACCCTTGCTGCCACGGTTACCACTGTTGCCACGGAAGAAGTTCTTGACAGAGTCTGGGATGAAGCGGCGGATCGGCTTAATGTCCATGACATCACTTTCGCCCTCCATTGGCTCATCATCGTTGGGGGGGTAGAAGGATTCAGGCCCAACAGCTGGTTGTTCTGGTAGAGGGGGAGGGGGAAGGGGGTCTAAGCTGGCAGCCGGCACTGTTCCATGAAAGCCCGTCAGGGGAGGAGGGAGAGCTGCATCCCGCCATAAGGAGCCAACAGGGACCTGATCATAATGTGGGATCTCTTGCACCCATCCGAACCTGGTGACAGAACCAACTCCTCTTGAAGACATTGGGACCTGGACTGTGCTTACTACTGAGAGAAACAAAGAGGATTCTTCTGTCAACAGATGGACCAACAGTGGCTTTAAAGGATAATTCCACTTTATTAAAATGTGGGTCTTATTTTCATAGCTTTGAACACAATTTGGCCATCAGTTTATGCTGAGATTAGATGACATAATATCAGCTGGACATTGTTTTTCAGTGTCAGGAACTAATATGACCATAGGGCCTAACAATTTCTGGTTTTATCTAAAGTAGTGTCAGAGCGGAAGACAACGGGAGCATTATCTAGAATTATTCACATCTGTGGGTGTAATGTTAACCTCTGCACTCTGCTGGTCACATAAACCCCCTTTGTACTGTCCACCTTCACTACTCACTGACCATTTATGTTTTCCAGCTTCACTTAAAGAATGCAAAAGTAATTACACAGGTGATTACATTTGTTGGGGCTGTGAACACATTATTTCAGAAATGACAAGTGGCCCAGGTATCTGGCAAGTCTGGTAGCAGACCTCTGAATCGCTGCCCACATCTCTGAATTTTTCAGGGACTTTATTATACTTCAGTCACATTATCAGGTTAGTGTTTGGCATGATGAAGACTGAAATACACTGATGGTTTTAACACTGTAATCCAGTCCAAAATCTACAGAAACTAGCAGACAAAGCTCTGGTCTGCATTTTCTGGTCTGGCAGTATGACTGGCTCTGGTTTACTAACTCTAATGAAACGTCTTTCCGAGAATAAGTTGAAAATGTTTTAGTCTATTCAAAATAGGGTACAAGTGGGGTGTGTTGTTGTCTGATATGTACAGTGTAATTTACGCACTGCTACACCTGACCAACTGGGAACCTCCAGGTCTGGAAAGTGATGCCAATGTGGAAGTGCTTTGAACCCACATTCTTTCTAATAGCCAGCAGGTGTTGACTACACTGTTTGCAAAATTAAGTCAAAACTTGTCACTTGATTTATTACCTCAGTAAACACTTTTTTGTCCCAATCGCAATTACAACACAGCATGATGTTTTAGTAACTTATGGTCCCATTTAGAGGAAAATAGACGATAAAGCAACGTTTACTTTAGGGCCTGGCTACCTTGTGATTAACAAGTCACCAGCACATTAAAAGAGGTACTGGACTCACTGGGCTTGCTTGTCCAGTCGGAAACTTCATATTATACTCCTGTCCCCCTGGGGATTTTTGGACACAGCCAGAGACTGCCCAGCTCATGGCACAAGTTACCGCAGAGCTGGAAAACACTTGAGAGTTTGGCACACCCTCAGGTACCTTTGAGGACAACATGGCTGAAGGTGGTACCATTGTGTCACGCACTTGTTCATCAGGCCACACACAAGCATCTACCAAGAAATTACCCAGGGTCATGTCTATCCCGTCACATGAAAGCTCAAGGCGAACACCTACTGTTACTTCACCAGACACTAAGTCCAAAAAATTTCTTTTGCAGTGAATAAAAAAAGGAAACACATCCCACAAACAGCAACACAGTTACTGAGTTCTGGATATCCAGAAAAAGGCAAAATTCAGTTGTGCAAATTCTGTCTTGTCTTTGTCGGTTCATTACTTTCTATGTGTGTTATGATACCTCGTTGTCTGCCTACTCGTTGTGTTTCCCTGCACCGTTGGATTTTGATTTCTGTTTGGACAGCTTTTGTGTTTCTGGACTTTGTCATCAGCCACTCAGCTTGTAAGTGTGCTCACTTTTTGTTGCCTTTTAATAAACCGTCTGAACTTTACCTGCTTGCCTACGTGTCCTGCGTTTGGGTCCTCCAACTTGCTCAACTCTGCCATAACCACCACTGAACGTAACAACCTGTGCTTGTGATAATGCATTATTGGAAATAAAATTGGAATTGGAAGTTAGCTTCGTTTTTTTTAATTGTAAATCTGGCCAGCTTGGATTCAAACAGCAGGTGGTCATCATCAGTCACGTACTTTTATCCACTGGCCATCTTGTTCCATCTCACACCCTTGATATATAATCTGTCTTCTGCATTAGGCCTGTGTGGTTAATCTGGAAACAACAGAATTGAACTGTCCGAATGTATAGAGATAATTATTATACCCTATATAGTCCATTCAATATATCCCAGAATGAATTTTGAAAAGTAGTGTACAACCGATGGTCACTAACCAAGCCGTATATACCATCATGCAATGCGCTGATAGAAAAAAATGATTGTCTGATGGCAATGACGTAATTAACGGCGCCAAAATAACGATCGGAGTAGTGTCCGAAAGTGTTGTTTTAATAATGCGATTGCCTCTGCGTAGCCCTGTAGCCTACGCCGTAGATTTGACGCAGAAGTATTAAATTAGCCTTATTTCAGGTAACATCAGGCGAAAGGCGGGGTACACCCTGGACAGGTCGCCAGTCCATCGCAGGGGACTAGCGACCACATTAACTTTCATTTTCGTTTTAAACAAAATGCAATTACTATTTTCAACCGCTAGGTTGGCAGCTGTAGCCCTACTGAGACATGACAGCTGGCAACGCGAGACTTGAAAGTTAGTAGACATCAGGGACGGCCCTGGTAGACAAGAGTTGCCAGATCTGGTGATAAACATATTTGTCATTTTTAAACAAGGGATATGTTACGATTTCGGCCTTTCAGCGAGCAACGGGCGAGAGTTTACTGCAAACACTGGAAGCGAAGACATTTACTGTGTATTCTGTGTCTTTGTTTGACATGTCTTCATTATTTATCTATATTATTTGCTAATATGTGTAGGAACCATGACATTTCAGCAGGTAACAGTGTAGAGTAAGGCACGTTGGGGTTAGCTTAACATGCTTAAAAAATCTTACATTATATTATATTATCTGAATTCAGAGGGGGTAAACATGATACATGTGCAACCTTACCTATTATAATTTGTTATGAAAGCCACACATACTTACTAGATCATTATATGAAAATATGGGTTTTTGGCACTAAATATAACACTTTTTTTTACCTTCATTAGAATGATAATTAGGGCCCGAGCCCGCTATGAATTTGCTACGCACTTCGGACGCTATATGAAGGTGTTACACGTCACTTCCTGTGTCCCCTTTGTGGAGCTACATAGCACTTGGCGCTATGAATATAAATGAATATTGGCTTGTAGATGTGTTCGGGGCGGGACAGTTATCAAGCACGTAAATTTTTGTGCAGATGTGAGCATGTACACTGAAGTTACAACAACTTCCTGTTTCATGGCGAATCATCGATGCCACGGACACGCCCATTGACGAAAACTCGCAAATAGCACAACTTTTTGTGAACGAGGGGCAAATTTTTTCCAATTTTCTAGGTGGCGCTAGCGAGTCATTTTGCCACGCCCATGCGTGAAACCCATAAAATACGAAGTTTTTCACCACTTCTGACATGTGTGCAAAGTTTGGTGAGTTTGAGTGTTTAGGCCCCCAAAATTGAGCCTACTTTTAAGTATGTTTAGGCCCCCAAAATTGAGCTTACTTTGCAGGAAAAAGAAAAAGGAGAAGAAAACATACAGTATATTGTATATATGTATGTATATATATATATATATATATATATATATATATGTATATATATATATATACATACATATACAATATACTGTATGTTTTCATTCAAAATAATTTGTTGATAGTAGTCATATCTTATAGGAAAACAGTGAACATAGTCAAATGTAATGTTTAATGTTTTACTTATATTCATATTCTTACATATTCAACAGTTACGGATCTCATTTACCCGAGAGACTGGCGCCAAACGAGAGACTCATCTGTTGTTCTTGCTGCAGCAAGTAGCAGCTTAGATGAAGAACTAGATTTGGATGTAGCCTAACCCATTTATTTTGTAATTATTTACGTTTTTATTACTGCATGTTTAAATTATTTGTATTTTCATATATATATATAACTGTTTTGTATTTATAATATTCTCTCAATAATTCCTTTATATTTTCATCATGTTGTATTATCTTGTTGTCTGTGTTGTAATCCTTTCTTAATAAAATCTTTAATTTGTTTGTACAGATTACCATTCATGAGAACCTGTTATGTTTAAGTAAAAACAATCCTTATCAACAATCCTAGCCACTGTTCACTGTTTAGACATCTATTAACTTTTCACTGACAGCCCAAATTCAACCTTGTTTTAGCCTAGATCCATTTCCAACCATCTAATACACGTCTATATGGAGCCGTTCAGTGGTGGTCAAATTGATGACTAGACTAGTTTTGGGCTATGGTTAGACGTCTGCCAAACTTTCACTGACAGCCCAAATTCAGCCCTGTTTTAGCCTAGACGTCTGGGCTCTGTTTAGACGTCTATTAGATGTATTTTAACCGTGAAATTGCTTGCTGGGGTAAGTTTACCTTATAGGTACCTGGACTAAATCTTCTTCTGGTCAGTGGTGGATCGATTATATGGAAGTGCTAATTTACATCGCCTAGCCTACACATTTAACTCGAAGTTGAGCATCTGGCTTTTTCTTCCTGGAGAGAAAGTGCCCTTTTTTTCTGTGGTGCTTTTTTGCGCACAGCTTCCCTGTCAAACAGATACATTTATTAAATAAAAAGCAAAATATCAGGTCGGGAGATGAGACTTCGTGGTTCCGATGCACGCTCTCTCTCTCTCTCTCCCCTCTCGCCGCGTAACAGCACACACACAGGCAGGCAGCAGGACCATGGGTTTTTCTTGGCTTGTGTGGAGCAGCTACCAATGCCTCGAGTTAATAGCTAATTAGCCAAAAGACAGTTAAGCTACTACTAATGTAATAAGTCGGCTAAAGTTCAGCTAAGGCAAACCACTATACTTACAGGAGACACTACAGGTAAACAGTTACATTTGTGTCTAATAACGTCATCACAATCGCCACATAATTGATATGCAAATTTGCCGAGGCAATTCAGGTGAGTAGGATACACAGAATAACTAAAGCATATCACCACAGAACTTTCCCAGCTAAGGGCTTACATCAAGCGTGTTTTCTCTGAAATGTTATGTATAAATATGCATTTTAGCTTGTTTTGGTTCATTTATGTAAACCTAAGAAGGGTAGTAGGCTTAAAACAAACACCATCTAAATGTGTATTTTGGAAATTTTCTTTCCATTGAAGACATGAATGCAAAATAGACCAAAATCTCAAAATTTACCACTACATGAAAAAGTGTCCTGCTTTAAGCAGTAATAATTTTGACAATAGGCTCCTCATCTAATAACTATCCATTCTATTAGTTTGTTGTATGCTGACAGATCTTCGTGTGTGTGTGTGTGCGTGTGTGTACGCGTGCGTGCGCGCGGTAAGTGAATAATAGCAATAGGCCTAATGTATTTGATCAGGTAATTCAGTATAATAATGCTTGGCTGTGTGAAGCTGAATGTTATCGCTTGTGAAACAAAAAGTATTTTAATAATTAATTTTAATGTCCCTCTCCTTGGTGCAGTCATTTATTATAAATATATACTTGAAATTAGTAGCATAGAAAACATGCACGTTGTTGCATAGTTTCCTTTGCTGTTGCTTGCTCTTGTGATAAAAGTAGTGAATACTAAAGAAGACCATGATGTGAACTGATTATTTTGTAGAAATCTGATGAAACAATAGCATGAGTGTGTTGTGTTAATATATTTAACGTTTTGTTGTAAAGTAAGTAAGTTGCAAAGTGCCTTTTTTTCACTAGAGCGCCTGCCACCCAACATATCTGTACAAGTCCCTGAAGTTAATACTAATAGATAACATGGACCCTTTTAGAAACAGTTGTCTCTGCATGTAGCCACTCCTTCTGTAAACTGGTTTAAAAAATTGGATAAGATAAATAAAAAACAAAGCAACCGTTTATAATGGAACGAACAACAAAGGCGACATATCTCGGTCGTCATATTAAAATATATAATATTCCAGCCATTACAAGACAAAAACTAATTCGATATTCGGACGCTGACCTACCTGCTGATTCTTCGTGTTTGTCTCGGTGAAAAAGGCTCACATCCTGTCTGCAACGCTCCCTTTGGTGTCAACACTCTCACACTGATCCCAGGTCAGGTATCACTGCGAACACCGGGGTAATTAGCGGAAAGGAAACTGATCCCAGATTCCCACCGCGGGGGAACTCACCTGGCCAGTCTGACTGGTGTGATGATGCATTCAAAGCCTCCTCTCATATTCAACTTCTTGGTTTCTAACTCTTAAAACAAGTTTCGTTCATTAAATTGGTGCTTTAGGCCTATATGTGGGACGAGTTGGCTATATTTATTTATTAATATGATTGGCAGAGAGACATATTTCAGCAAGAAAATGAAGGAGAAAGGGACAAAGAGTGGCTAGGGAGGGAAACAAAAGAAGAGGTGGAAATAAATCCAAAGTGATACCTAATATTTTTTAGGCTTCCCCAGAGCTATTATATAAGCTATAGGCTTATGTAACATGATTACATTACTGTATTACTTGAAAAAAGGTTTGTTTTCTACTCCAGCCTGCACATTATTAACTGAATGCAGTGCTTGAAGTGGAAAAAATAGGTGCCACAAGATGAAACTAGTAAATATTATAACATTAACGACTTTGCACATCAACCCCTTAATTTCCTGCATTCTGAACACATTTTCTGCAACAATTCATGGAGGAACTGTCTGTATTTATAGGCTATGAAGGGAAACAAAATTAAGGTGACAGGTGACAATTCAGAATATAAAAATATAATGGAATATAATGCAGTAATAAGCTTTTGGAAAATGCACATTGGTTTCTTCTATATTTCAGTTGCATTACATGTTTTCTTATTGTCCATTGTTTCAGTTGTTATTCAACATTTCTTGTTGCTGTGTTTCTGAACCTTTTTAACAAAAGCTTTCAAAAAGTGATGGAGACATTCTGATTCTGACCTGTCCCCAGCATCCCCAGTGTAAATGACACCTATTAGTCAATATTTTTAAATATCCCGCCCAGTGGTGTAGTCTAGTTTTTTCTAGTAAGTATACTGTGATTTTTCCCTTCTAGCCTCCCATACTCCCCCATCCCTACACTCACTAATACATACAGTATGCATGTACATGTAATAGAGAGCATTCTGAAGGACTGCTTAGGCCATGTGTTATCAACAACGCAAAGACTTTAACAGCCAGTGACAGTTACAGGTGGGAAAGGGCGTCACTTTGTGTTCAAATGTGGTGGGGACATTTTAGGGCTCAGATTAGAGTTGTGACAAAACACTTAGTATATGAGATGTGACAATCCACAATATTGGGGTCATGAGATCAAGACTAGAAGATATTTTAATAATATGTAAAGAAATATTCATTGAGTACACGATTGGGTGGTCTGGATCAGCAGCTCCTTAGGCAGTTTGAGCTTCCTGAGCTGACGCAGGAAGTACATCCTCTGCTGGGCCTTCTTGATGATCGTGTCATTGCTGGGCTCCCACTTCAGGTCCTGGGATATAGTGGATCCCAGAAACCTGAAGGATTCCACAGCAGACACAGGGCTGTTGAGTATGGTGATGGGGTGCAGAGTGGGGGGGCTCCTCCTGAAGTCCACGATCATCTACATAGCGTGTAAGCTCCAGGTTGTTCTGACTGCACCAGAGAGCCAGCTGATCAACCTCCCATCTGTAGGCCGACTCGTCACCATCGAGGATGAGGCCGATGACCGTTCTGTCGTCAGCAAACTTCAGGAGTTTGACAGATGGGTCCCCTGATGTGCAGTCCCATGAGAGTCGAGGTGTTGCAGGATGTGATGCAGACCCAAGTTGACAGCATCATCCACTGACCTGTTAGCCCTGTGGGCAAACTGCAGGGGGTCCAGCAGGGGGCCTGTAAAGTCCTTCAGGTGGGCCAACACCAGTCTTTCAAAGGACTTCATGACTACAGATGTCAGGGCAACGGGCCTGTAGTCATTTAGTCCAGAGATGGAGGGTCCTTGCAACATATGTGTCTAAAATTGGTTTTCA